CGGTCCGGGGGCGTAGCCCCCGGCTAGGCGTGACGGGCGCGCGAAGCACGCCCAGAACGGCTAGTAATTATATAAGTTTCCTACCAAGAACTGCATTCATTTTTTATCATTTTAATGAAAATGTCCGAAATTCTTTCCTTTTTCTCTCTGTTTGTTTATTTGTATAATTATCAATTCATTCATATTTTTCCGCATCTCAGGCAACTACTTGATGAAACCAGCGAAGTCAAGCTGTCGAGTAATTGGAAAGACGTGAAAAAACTCATCAAGGATGATCCGAGATATTCCAAAATTTCGTGGAGTGATCGCGTAAGTTTTCTGTGAACAAAATTTTTTTTGCCTTACATTAGTAAAGTTTTACCCCGATTATCTGACGATTCGTGACGAGGATCCCGTTGGATACCAAAAAGTTGGTTAGTTGAAACCACCAAAAAAACACTGAAAAAAATGCCATTTCAGGCGCTGTGTGTTACTGAAAAGGCCAATTTTCCATTGTATTTGTAAAATATAGACCTTTACTCAGAGAAAGAAACATACAAAACCATACATATATCAAGTTCTTGCTCTCTTGTTTTTGGTCTAAAACTCAATTTTGACTATGCTGAATCATCGAAGCCTAGGGTAGTTTTTGGTTGGCTAACTGGGGCACTGCTGTATTTTCGGTTCAAGAAGTATCAAATTGCACATTAATTTGGTGTAAATTTCTAGTGCACTTTTGCAGTAATCTGTAAAGAATCAATGGATTCAGTAATTTAACGAATTTGTTTGCAGGCCCCTACAAATCTGATAAAGCAAGGTTGCATTGTTGTTCAATCGTTTGAAACTCGAAGTTTTTATATAAAATATGCCACAAGTCTTTTCTCTTGTGCCTTTCATTTTCCATTTGATCTAACGTGAGTTTTGTTTACTTGCAGAAATTAGAACGAGAATTTAAGGACTATGTTAAGGATAAGTTGGCGGATGCCAAAACAAATATTAAAGAACTTCTCATGGTAAGTAGCTTTTTTTCCTTCCAACAGACCTAATTTAATGACAAAGCGCTAATGAAACATTGTTATTAACCTCGTAGTTTTGTACTTTCATGTAAGATATCAGCCTGTAAAATACAGTAAATTATTCTTCACTAACTGTACTAATCACTGAAGTGTCGAATATTTTGATGCTGTGAGTATAACGTACCTAACAAGAGGACTAAGAACAATTTGACTCTTCCGTTTTCCTTGTTTCTGTTGTAAAATTATTGGTCTGACACAAAAAAATAAATATGAGGCGAATTGACTACCTCCTTGCTCTCTGTAAACTAATTATCAACCTTAATCACTTAATAATTTATTGGATGTTACAAACTGATATCTCCCTGAAATTTTTGGTTTTCAAATGTCCTAGTATAAACCTCTCCTGATCGCGTGAAATCACATCTGGTTTGAAAAATGTTAATATGTTGTCTTTCAATGTGTAGCCCTTTGTTTTTTAGCTTTTCATCTAGCGTATTTTTCACCCTCACCTGTTGTTGCGTATGGACAATAGTTAATCAGGCATATCCAGAGGAAAGCGTCTTGCGGTGATGTTTTGGTGATGATTTATTTTGTAGTTGAAAATTTGATAGTTTTAAATCAAAAATCAGAAAAATTTCTTTTGACTGGGTCAGTTGATGGTAATAACTTCTATTAAGTATTTCAAGTAAACCAATTTAATTTCCAATAAAATCTGTAAAGTGAGCAATTCAAAATCCTGTCAGGACATAAAAGTTTTCGGGTAGTGTGACGAAAAAAAAAGCCAGGAAATATAAAAAAAGGAAGTTTTATTTTTTTATTTCAGGATGTCACATTATATCTGAGATTTGGAACCCGCTAACCTCCAAATTCGAAACCCTAAATAATCTTACTGGTAGAAAATTATTTTGAATTGGATAAAAAAAAAAAATCAGAAAAAATAGAGCGATGAAAGCTATCTAGTGAACGTTTTGACATACAAGTTGAATTTGATTTGAAGTATTGTCATGGAGTTATTGTCAATCAGTAAACCCTTTCATGCATTAATATGGACCTCATTTTTTTCAATGAAGACTAAGCCAGTCTGTCGCAAAGTTATCATCTAAAAAGGTTCATAGGTTGTTTTGAACAGCTCATTGCGAAATTCTTAATTGCGTGCCTAATTATGATTCAAGAGAATGTTGTTTCAAAGACTAACTTAATTTCAGTAATATCAAATCATCTTGTTTTCCAACTCATCAGTACTGTAATCTCATGGACTGTGGAATCCAAGATTAGTAAGACCAATTAGACCAACATTTTGCAGATAGGAACTACATTTCCATAAAAACACCTTTGTGCATTGGGAAAGTAATGTTCCATACATGCTTCTAAAGCGAATCAGAAATTGGAGTTCCTAATTTCATAATGAAGTCCAATTACTCATTCTTTTTTGTCACCTTCATTCAAACGTTCATTTGTAGTTCACTAGCATGCTAATTCTCTGGTTGTGATCCGTCTGATCTCACTTTGATTCTCATTTGAAAGAAGTTGTGACAGAGAACGAGAACAAAAAAGACTAGAATCCTTTCCTTTAATCGGCTTTCACCTGCAATCACATCTTCAATTCACCTTTCTGTTCAAGCAGCTGTTATGATGGGAATAAGTTGTCAATATTTTCTCGAAGCACTGAAGAAATAAGCATTGGCTGAGTCAAATATTCACCGTTTTCTTTGTGTGGATTTTTTTAAACTTAAAAGTAAAATTTAGTCAGTTTTTCTGTTTCTTTCTGTCGCACTTCTATGATTAAAATGTCGTCACGGTTAGTAATCAGCTCTCACACTGCCAAAAAGTATCACTTTATGCCGGCTATTCAGCACCATTTATTGTAAAATCGTCAAATTTTGACTTTGTAAAGAAATTTGCTGTTTGACACCAAAAAAAAAAGAAGGCCAAATCAATGGCTAATGTGCAAAACCATGTATTTCCGTTTACAAATTTACAGACTTTCAGTCATACTTTATTATTTTTTCTTTTATGAAAACTAGTGAACTTAATTTCTTGAAAACTTCCTTCATTTTTCCTTTCTATCAGCAGAATACTCTGTATGAATTTCAAGCTATATGTACAGTTGACTTGTTTTTCGTCGAAAAAATAAGATAGAAGGAGAGATTGTGAAACACTGCAACATAGATACGTAGTTTTGCACTTTAGCTGTAGAAATTCTATCAATTAGTCCCTAGCCATTGACTGACCCAGCAGGCACCAGGGCCCTCTGCAATTTTTCTAACAACTTCTCAATTTGCTATTTCAGGAAACGAAACACTTAACTTACAAATCTAGGGAGCTGATCCGTGAAAACGAAGCCCATATGCAAGAGGTCGAAGAGATCCTGAAGAAAGATCGCCGCTACTTAGTCTTAGATCACCTGCCTGAAGAAAGGACTGAATTAGTTTTAAGTTATCTTGACGAATTGGAACAGAGAGGACCGCCTCCTCCACCCACAGCCTCCGATCCATCTCGCAGAGGTGGCATCAATGTTAAACCGCAACTCTGGTAAGTTTTGTCACCTAGATTCAGGGTTGCAAGCGTGAAATGAAAAATATGAAAGATTGGAAATTTCAGTGAAATATTTCATGAAATTTCACAAACCTTTGAAAAATATGTAACATATTTTCAGGAGCTGGGTATGCATCACGAACTAAAAAAACCCAAAAAGCAAAAACCAGTCGGTTTTCATTTACTTTTTCATTTAATTTCGAAAAATATTTTTCAATATTTATCATATTTTTCTGAAATTTCGTGAAATTTCAAGATTTTATTTTTCATGAAAAATTGCAATCTAGGCTAGATTGCAATACCCTTAAGATATACCTGCTTTTCAAACCTCTATCAGGGTGCTTTCAGGTCCTGAAAAACTGGGAAGTGCAGAATGTTGATAAAAGGTCTGAAAGTAAGGAAGAAGTCTGAAAATCTGACTCGAATCCCGGAAAAATTTAAATCAATTATTATATAATCGAAGGAAAGTAATTATCAGATGTTTGCTGAGCCAACAATGTTAATAAAAATGAAAAAACACTTACCTACCTGCTGTAATTTTTCATTTCCTCATGGTAAAAACTTAAAACTTGATGGCTCATTCTGAAATGAATTCATCTGCACATTTCTGGAGGTGAAGATTTTCTCTCTCTTCGAGTATGAATAAGTCTTTAAAGTCCAAGCTTTATCAGTTTTTTACTATCTGCATTCTATGCTCTTCTTCCAACCATGCAATTCTAAAACTAATACTTTGATAGTTAATTAGTAGGTATACTAATGGTTGTAGCGAAAAGGGTTTAAGTAATAGTCAGGTCCAAGGCAGTAAGAATACTACATATATAATTTTTTTCAGGAGTCTGTAGACACCATGTCCTACCCCCTTTCTCACAAAGTTTAAGCTTAGTTTGAAGTTCATTCCTAACTTCAGTGCAGCCGTAAGCTTATCCCAGCCATTTACGGCTTTTTCAAGGTTAAGAAGCTGCCTTAAATGGATTTTTTAATAGTTTGATGATGAAGTAAAACGAACAGTTGAATCGGTCGGCCAGAAATGAAAATACGAGCATAATGGTAAAAACGGTTTCAGGCAAATTGTTCTGAATGTCAGAGCCGTAAAATATTAAAGTAATTGATAACTTAATCATACAATCAATTAATCTGAGGTAAAAAACGAGTTGATTCAGTTCCTATGAAATACAACTTCGAAAAAAATGCTATTGTTTATCTTGTGTTTTCGTTTCTGGCGTTTGGGTCTTGTTGAGTGTGACCGATTTCATTGGCTCAAGTTACAGTCTTGCAGAACTTTCTTTAATACATCTCAAAAAAGGATGTTGCATTGGCGCAAATGTATCTAGCTTAAAGTGGACTATGTTGAAGGAGAAAAAAAAATTAAACAATTCTAATTGTTAACATTTCAACAGCAGTTTTTGTTTTTAATTCATCAAATTATTTTTTTCTGGACACTTTTATGATGAAGGCCTTGTTTCTCAAACAACCTCTTGAATAGATCCTACCCTGTTAGAGTTGAGCTTAAAAGAGAAAATAAACTTTTTGCCTTCTGGCGCAAGTTTTAAAAAGTACCAGTACTAAAGGAAGATGAAACCTAAATAATAAAATATTTTTTTAAACTCTCAGCAACATTGTAATTTCTTCTCACTGGTAATTTTTTGTTTATTTTCAGATGTCACGCAATTAGCAAAACTCAGGACGATGGATTTTAGCACATTTGGAGTTGGAGGGTGGACTTGGCTGAAGAATTTTATGTTTGACATGTCTCAGCACACAAGTTTGATTAAAGTTTAATGTAATTTTAAAATCTCTGAAGCTTATAATCCACCGCCACAATTTTTCAATACCAGTAATTGATTTTTTCTCATTATCATAATTCACATTTTTCATTTATCACTCGCGTGTATCAGCCTTCGGTGCTTTCGGCAGTTCTCATTTTACTCATGTTTATTTTTAATTCCTGTATGACTTTTTATGATAAGCTTCAATAAATTGATCACAAACCTGTAAGGAGTGTAATACTTATTTTTTCAATTCCCCTCTGTTTCTTCTCTAATCTCCCTTCATCAAGAACAAGACCAATCCACACAGGTCAGTCATTGCGCATCTTTTTGAGAGCCACTTCCCCACCCGGCCCTAACTCGGCTGCACTCAATGCTACGTCACAATGGGTGCTCCCATAAGCAATACATTGCAAGCACTCAATACTACGTCACTGCGCAGTAGAGTACCAAAACTCTTCCACGGGAATGACTGACCTGTGTGGATTGGTCTTGATCAAGAAACAGAATGTATTGTGAAGTTTCATGGAATAGGATAACATGAAGAGTATGGGTATACTCTCCAGTGGGCTGATTATTGTAATTAATAGACGAAGCAACAGAAATAGGGGAAATGAAGCGAATCTATAGGTTGAAATGGGTAGTTGTTATAGATTAAAGGGAAACTTAATTGACTAACTATAGGGTCTCGTGTGGGTTGTTCAGTTAGTCTGTATTTGCCTCCTTTGTTTATTGCAACCATCCCTTCCACCAATAGGATCACTCCATTTCCTCTTGGTCTTCTTAGTGTTTCGCTTTGTTTATCAATTTCAATATTCAGCCAGCAGTACATTTTGATAAAAATTTATTACATTATTTGAATTCTCATACAGGGGTCCAGAAAATTCTTAGCAGTTCAAATTATAAGTTTAAATTATAGTTGCAATTTTAGTCTCAAGATTTCCTCATAAAAGATCCTGTAAAATATCTTCTTCCCGCAAAAAGGTCAATTCCGAAGAATGCCCTTGGCTTAAATATTTGGGGAAAAAAAGCATCCTTTTTCCTTGCAATCTTTCCTTGAAAACTTTAATTATTTGCCCACAGATTTCTGTATGCTACACAAGAGGCTAGGGCCATTGAGCATTTCTTAACTCCTTTTCCCATACTAGGAGTTCATGAGAAGGACTTAAAACATTGAGGAAGAGTAGCAAAGCATTGAAAAATTAAAATATAAAATTTATTACACCTATATAATAACCTAAGAATATTTTTTCTTGCCTAGACTTTTCTTGACATTTTTTATTAGACATTGTTGCAAGAGGGGGTAGATAGCGTTACAATGTTTAATGAGAGCAGGTATCTTATCTTCCAAGTGATTTACACCTATAGTTCCTGATATTGTGAATTCAGAGACTTGCTCTAATGTTGACATGTAAGTCAACGTAATAACAGCTTGAGGGTCAATACTTTCAGCGGAAGCTGTTTTCTTGCAAAGCTGCTCTTCTTCGTTCGTTGGATCCACGAATTGCAAATGGCCGCAGATGCCCTGAAAAAAAAAGAGCATTTTAGATTAGCTCTTGATTGTTAAATCTGACGAACTAGCCGAAAATGGAAAAATCCATTTAAAAAATAGGGTATGCAGACAGTATGTCTACAGAAAAAAGGGCTACAAAAAAAAGGGCTACCTTTTTTAGTCTACTGTCAAAACGTCTACATTAAAATGCCTACTGAAATTATGTCCACATTCAAATATGTCTACGCTATTAAAAATGTCTACGGTTTGTTTGCCCACTTAAAAAATGTCAAAATATTTATGTTGGCCACTAAAAATATATAAAATATATTTATAAAATAAAACAATAAATAAAGTATATATAAAATATACATGTTGATATTTATAGGGTCAATAATTTGCGAAATGTGATTAACAATTTTGACGCATCAGCTTCTGCAGCATCCGCAGTCTCGTCCTGTCTTTGGGGATACACTTTCAGATTAGATTTTTATCAGACGACATAAATACGTACTTTGAAATTTTTTACTTTTTGGAGTAGGCAATCAAACCAAAGACATTTTAATACCGCAGACATATTTTACTATAGACACTATTTTAATAGGAATTTTCATGTGGACATTTTGACTGTAGACCAAAAAAGGTAGCCCTTTTTTTTTGTAGCCCTATTTCTTGTAGACCTACTGTCCGTAAACCAAAAATAGATATAAATAAGAAAAGTTGCACATTTTCTAGATGTGATGCCCTTAAGAACACAGCAGACAATAACATTTAAAAATAAAGTATTTAGAAATTTGATGGGCAAGAATCACATGAAAAGTAAAAGAAATGGAAAAAAAATTAATTACCACAGAGACAGCTGTGACAAGATCATACATAGGAACACTTGCATCGGCTAGAGCAAGACTTGCACAGGTGATTGCAGCAGCTAAATCTGAGCCATCACTGTCCAAAATGTAGACGTAAATATCCACTTGGAAGTTAGGAAACTCATGCTGGAACAGAGCAGAAAGATTAGACCTAAAATTTCAATTTTCTATTTTAGAGGAAAGGGGTCCTTGCTTTGATACAACTTGTTTCAATTTAGATGGAGCTTTTTGATGCACTTGCAGAGATGAAGATAAATTTCTTGATGCGACTTCAATGATGGAGCTGTTGAAGGGTCTGAACAAATAGGTAGAAGGGCAAGGAGACATTTTGGGATGAAAAAAGGACAGAATTAAGAAAGAATGTATCTATTCAGAACTACTTCAGAATTTAATTTTCATTCTCCCTCAAAAAGAGAGTGAGTTTTTCCAGGTAAAATTTTGGCACAGACACAATAAGTTAAGGTGAATCCAGGCTTGGAACTTCGCGATTTGGCCACCACGTCGCGCTGCTCAGAATAGCCGCATATATTTGCCAAAATAATAAAAACCGTAATACTTATTCAAGATTGGAGATCCAAGGGATATGGCAACATACTTGAGGAACACTCAGTAAAAAAATTTTCTCAAAATTCCCAAAAATAAAGTCTTAACTATGGCGGAAAGTAATTCCCATTGCGGCAATGGGAGAGAGAGAGAGACAGAACATGAAGAAGACAAAGAACACGAAGAGACAGAACTGTTGCGCACTCGGCCGCCGCCTCTGAGCTGAAAGTTTCAGCCGTTTTTTCTCTGCGCTTGTAATTCTAATTGCCAATATTTTTGGCTCAAAAAATCAAGCTAAAATTAATCTATATCTTGTGGATCTACTTTTTGTAATTCGAGGAATATTATTTCAGTAATCGTCGAAGGAAAGTGAAATTCTCAGTGGTGACTGGTGGCGCTATCTCTAATCTTGAATTATCCCCAATCGAACCCTGGATTCACCTTAACGCACTTTCAGACTGCGACAGTAGATCGTCTGTCATCAGTCAAGCACTGAAAGTTAATGCAAGAATCAAGATGGCAGATCTTCTGTCGCAGTCTTAGAGTGTATAAGCTTATTTAGCATGGATTTCTACGCTGAACGCAGAGAGTTTTTAGTCCGTAAAATGAAAATTATTAGGAGCTTACCCGACAAACAGCAGGTTCAAGGGCTCTCCTTAAACTGAAACTTAGTTCCTTCTCCTCAGCATCTCTGATGTGTCCTCGTCTTTTGATGCAAGAAAACGGTGCAAACTTGAACTCACAATATAACTCTCCCATTGGACTGAACTCATTTTTATTCGGAATTTCTCTCGGATCAAAGACGGAGCAGATCACTTTGGTGTTTTCGTATTCAAGATATGCAGAACCTTTGGCTTGAGAGTTAACTCCAGTCTTCAAAACTGCAACAAAAAAAGAGGGAAGGTAATTAAATTACCAGTTAGAACTGAAGAAAGAAAAGATTAGACGGAAGTCACATCAACCGGAATGCATCAATCATCAGTGGGCTAATTGGTTAGCATGATTATTTCTCTTGAATGATGCCATTCTCTGATGTGACATTTGTCCAATCTTTTCTTTTCCCAGTTTTAATAACGTAAAGCAGGAGAGAATCTATCTACCATCTTCTTCATTTCCTAATTAAAAAAGAGAGGCACCCAACTTGCTTAGTTATCACCTTGAGTTTCTAAAAGTTTCACGGCACAATGACCAACATCTTTACAGAATGTCAACTTTGCATCCTCTATTTCGTAGTCATCATGATATTGCAATTTTTCGTATCTTTCGATTGACGGTTATCACTTCAGACGTAATTTTAAAGTTATTTCAGGGTGTTTCTCGGTTAAATCTAGAGCAAAAATGCCTAGCAAGTTACAGCATTATTCCAAAAATTCTCAAGGATGTCCTAAATTCCAGAAATTAAAAAGAAATCAATTAACTATCAGATTGCTCTGCGAAGTGCTGAGGAACAACCTTAAAATCATTTAGGCCCTGTCCACACGAGCGCGGTTCGAGAAACTTATTCGACGAACTGCTCAGTTCCCGGAACTTATTCCTTAAAACGAGGCATACTGTCCACACAAGTTCGCCCGAACTGGAACCGGAACCTCAATGAAAGTATATAATTATCGCAAAATAATAGATTATTACGGCCGCCAAAGTAACAAAAATAAATGTCAAGATATGTAAAGGAGGTAATAAACAAAAACAAACAAATTTACATCAAAAGAAACATATGTAGAAGCTCGGAGTACGGGGGAAGTTCCAGGTTTTGGAGGAATAAGTTTTAACTCAGCTGAAAACTTGTTCAGGGAACAAGTTCCGCGAACTAAGTTCCTCGAACTAAGTTCCGCGAACCGCGCTGGTGTGGACAAGGCCTTAGACCATAACCGGATCTTCGATAAGATGAAATTTGGACGGTAAAATATACTTACAAACAGGCCTATGTTCGTTTGGTAATCTACCGTTTTTCCTTTCTCCAACTTTGGGATCTTTGAAGTCTGGTTTGCGACTGAAGTCTGATAGATAATAATGATAAGGTATGGTGGTTTCAGGGCCGGTTATTCTTTTGGAGTCGGATGGCATCCTTACAAAGTGTTATTGGTTCCACATAATCCAAATTTGAAAGTTCACAAAAGGAAAACTGTAATACTTTACCGCCGGAAAATTGTAATCACATCACAGCACATGTTCAGATTTATGTTTAGGGTTAGGTTTCAGCCTTCAACGTTGCCGGGCATAAATAAAAACAAACGTAGATGCCTGATACCTGTCATGGCTAATTTTGATATTTCCACACACTTGGCAACGTTTTTGTTTACTTTTTTACAACTGTTTACACGTGTTGCTACGACTCCCGTAACATTTTAGTTATTTTCCAATTTTCCCTTTTTTATTGCATTGAGTCAAATCTTTTTATCAATCTCTCGTACTCCAGTGATTCAGAAAATGGATAGCCCTCAAATTATTTGTCATTCCGAGAAAAGTGTGAAATACTCCTTGTTTGACTGTTGTTGGATTCCACGCTCTGCTAAATTTGTGGCCTTAGGTTCAGACACGCAAAGCAATGGTGTTATGCAGATTTATGAAGTTCAAAATGCAGATCCTGTCATGATCAAAGAGGTAATCACAGCTATTCTATTCTAATGACACATCGAGCACACCTACAGCATATCGACAGCATAAGTCCGCAATCACATATCTCATTTGCGGTGTCTGAAAATCTCCGCTTCTATGTCATTTTTTAAAGGAGAACAAATTGACATAATTTCTTGAACTTTATGCAGAATTTTCTTCGCTCAGAGAAGAAAAACCATGGCAGTTTCAAGGAATCTCCATTAAGTAATTTTCCGTTTAAGAAATAAAGTAAGTATGACAGGAAGTTTGCAATGTCGATATGTAAATATTGGGAAGGCTCGACCGCATCAATGATGGAATCATGCGCCTCCTCATCAATCGTAGCGAAATCTGCGTGTTTTTGCTCAAAATGACAGCCTCTGTTTGTGAATAAAGGTTGCAATAAATGGCTAACTTTGTTAAGTTTGGACTCAACAAGTTGAAAATTCTTAAGTTCGAGAGGCCAACTTGAGAAATACAAAGGCAAAAATCTCTCTGAACCCCTGGTAAAATCCATCTGGAAGAGTGGAAAAGTAAAGAAAAGGTTAGATGAGGCGTAACTCTGCATTAATATTATAATGGAAATCCACAGGTATGAGCAGTTGTGTCGTCATTAATATGCCACTTCAGTCTGGATTTTTGTCATTCCGATTCATGGTAACCTGAAGTTAAAGTTACTCATATGGAACTTTATCTCATACTAAGGAGCCAACACAGTCATGCGCTGTCTCTAACTCAGTCAGTGTCAATGTGCAAAGTCTTGAGGTTACACTAAAATTCTCTTTTTTTATCACCCATCGCAAACCAATTATTTATATAATTAGTAAAAATTTAGCAAATTCCTGTACTTAATTCATCTTCTCATTTTGGTTTCAGGTCAAAAGCAGCAAGTCTTTTAAGTGTGGAACCCTTGGTGCATCGTCCTTACAATCAAGACATCTAGCAACAGGATCTTTCGATGGAAAATTAAATATATGGTGCGCAGAAGTAACCGCAGATAAATTCCTCTCTACTTTCTAAAGTTCAAGTTCATCAATTTCAAACTACTTGCAATTTTCTACCCATCAAAAAAAAGACTTAAGTCGTCAAAAATTTTCGTCAATATCTGATTGGAGCAGAAGGGAACCTATGCGATTACAGTGTTTTAAAAATTGTGCAACTTCTTCTGTGCTTTCAAAAATACTAAATCTATGTACAGTAATAAAATGTACACAATCATTTAACTTTAATTTCAACAATTTTTGCTGTAGTGAAGCAAAAACTATTTGCCATCCCAGGCATTTTTGTATCGTAAGTACCGACAAAGATACACAAGTTTTACAACACTGTAATCCCATTGGTTCCCTTTTGCTAAATATGATCCATTTCATGAACTTTTAAAGTTTCAATATTTAGGATACATCCTCAATGGAACCTCACCAAATAATGTTTCACTTTCTTCCAGCCATTTTTAGATTTTTTGGCAAAGCGTTGCTTTACTTTTGAGAATCTCAGTTGCGGAGAGTTCGATGCGGGCAAAGCATTTACCCTTAGCTTGCTTAATAGAATCGTTTGAAATATCGAAAAGTATTTGACACAAAAATATAATTGGCTCAATAGTGTTGACACAATTTTTACCAGGCTAGAATTGTGACAATATGTTGAAATATTATGTCGTAGCTTTGTTGAAATATATAAGCAGGAGTAAAATCAGCGAACTAAATAATGCCAGAAGAGAATCATAAATCAGTAACTTATAAGTAGTAAACATGAGACCATTGTAGCAGACAGGTGAGTTTCTAATGAAGGCGGGAATCTTATTCAGCTAAACTTTGAAGGAGAAGTTCATCCAGAATTCTGCTAGGTACTTAAATTATGTTTAGTTTTCAATGTGTTTCACTTCTCCGTGTATTTTCATTTCCTTAAATTAATCAACAGAATTTTTTATTACAGGGACCTTGAAGATCCAAAACATCCTATCTACACAGTTGATGCTCACAATGAGATAATAAACACTATAGATGGCTTTGGTGGAACAGCTATTGGTTGCGGAGCTCCAGAAATTGTTACAGGAAGTAGAGATGGTGTGTGTAACCTTTTTAATATTTGCTGAAAACTTCAATGAGTAATCTAATAACACTCTACTGACTCATTATGTATATGTAATTCTTAGTGTTCCTCCAATTATGCATTGATATTTTTCAGAAAATGATCAACTTTTTCAAAAATATTGTACTATCCTTTGGAATAAGAATCATCCATTTTGCACACAGCTGCCTGTTTGTGGGAAGAAAATACAGGGTGTACCCAACCTATTAGTTTCAGAACAAGTGTGTGCTTCTACTGGAAGTGCTCCAAACAGTTTCTTTTCTGTTTGATAACTACATGTACCCATGGATAGTGTTTTTATAGCGTTTAAAACTTTGCATGAACTTTGGAACTTTCGAATCTGTTTTTCACCTTCAAATCTGCTATACAGAAACCTCTCTTGAATTTTTTTTCTCTAAAATTAATTGTTTTTTCTCAGGTTCTGTAAAAGTTTGGGATCCGCGACAGAAGAACAAGCCTGTAGCGGTCATGGAATGTGTTAATAACGAAGAAAAGCGTGACTGTTGGTGTGTTTGCTTCGGTAATCATATATTTACCTCCTTTTTTGACTGTGTAGTATTATTGAAAAAACCACTTTATGGCAATATAAAGCATCCACCAAGCTTCATTCGGTATCTTTTATTATTTTTTACTTTAATTTTGAAAATTGATTTTATAGGTATATAATCTTACTCAGTATTCAGTTTTCACATCTGTGAAGTCTTGTTTATTTTTAAAGCACGTGCAAATTAATAAATATGCTTGCTCAGAAAAGCAGTTGCCATTCCTCCTAGCATGCTTTTTTTTAAAGTCAAATAATTCTCCTTTATAATGCACAATGCACATGATAATACGATTCTCGTTTGAGAAATCCATTTTGGAGATCTAGAGTTAGATTAGAGTTAGATAGGAGCTAGATTTTTTTTCATCAATGCCTTTCTTTGTTTTGTGCCAGGGAACTCTTACAATACAGAAGAAAGAGTAGTCTGCGCAGGCTATGATAACGGAGATGTTAAACTTTTTGATCTGAGAAAGATGTCTACACAGTGGGAATGTAATGTGAAAAATGGGGTGAGTTCATTAATTGTGGATTTAAAACCTTGAAATCATTGAACACCTACTTCTTTTACTCTTGGTAATCAAGCTTACCTGGAATGTTGGAGATTTTTGTTTGATGCCAAGTTATTTAGGGGCCGTTCAAGTTTAGTGTAAGGATTTTTGGCTGAATTTTTGACTCACACCCCCTCTACTCCAGGTAAAAAATATGTGAAACAACTTATCAGCCTCCCTTTTGAACTGAATAAAACTAGTCTGACTCTCCCCCATTTCTCAGCGAATAATTCATAATGCCTGAAAGATACATAATCATAAATATTGATGGTGAAACTCATGAATAACTGAATAGTTGGACTGCATTTTGAAATTTGGAACTATAAATTCTGGCCCGATTTAAAAACAACGTATTTGCCGTTAGTTTCCCCATGCACATAAGTGTTTTTTCAAATGAGCGGTTCTTTGACCCTCAAACACAGATTTGTGCCTAAAGGCGTTTCTTTTGGGTGGTCCCTTTTAGTTAGCTTTTACCCACTTTGAAAAAGAAAAAATATTTTTACAGCCTTAATTTTGCAGGTATGTTGTGTAGAGTTTGATAGGAAAGACATCAGAATGAACAAACTAGTTGTTACCACATTAGAAGCAAAGTTTTTCGTCTACGATATGACGGTCCAGCATCCTAAAAAAGGTTTCTCTCGACTTTCTGAAAGGGTAAGTTGAAGAACTTATAATTACGAACTTTTACACACAAGAATAAAGGTACTATGCATAATCTATCTAATATTGAAATTCAAGCCCAAACAGAAAAACCAATTTGTGGAATTTACATTCCCAGAAATTTTTCCTCTTTTCCTTGCATGCAGAGACCACGTTGAGCCAACATCAACCAGTCAAATCCTCTGGTGTTTGACCAGTCAAATTCTCTTGGCAAAAGGCAGTGTAATTAAAAAAAAAAAAAATCTTAGTGGAGGTTTTGATCTAAGGTTAAGGAATGTCGGAAAAGAGTCAGGGAATTCAGAAATTTTCTAGTCGGGGAAAAGCAAAGATCAGGGAATTGAAAAAAGAAAAAACTAAGGCATTCACGCCTGAATTTATCATTTTCTTCTTACTTTTATGTGCATTGAGTATGGATCATGCAATCTTTTATGAAAGCTTTGATGCAACAGGCCAAACATGGTTTTGATGTCCTCGTCTTTCCAAAAGTTTTGAGTAGGATATTTTCACAGGTTTATGATGTGTTGCAAATTCAAAAACATGCACCAGTTAAAAAACCAAATATTTATTCAAAATCTCTGGAAACAAATATCATAAAAATTATTTTAACGACTATTTACCTAACAACATTTGCTTTGCAAATTATTCTTATATTTGATCAATTTTAACTCTAAGTAACTTATCCAGATTAACATTTTTGGGATCCATGTTCGAGGAAATTTTTGTCATCTTTTTAATATTCCTTGCTTCTGCTCACTCTGAGTGGTGTTCACGCTGTCAGTATTCTTGTTTAAAAACACGACTCCAACATTAAAATCAGTCTTTTTCCAATGGGTTTGATGAATTTCCCATCCAATCTACTCCACAGTTGAACTGGAAAAAAAAAAGAACACTTCAGTCCCGCCTCAACTTTGAAAAATTAGTAAACATTTTCAAGTAGGTAACCTCAATTACTATAGATCTTGGCAGAGAAAAATACCATTAAAACACATCATTGCTTGCAAAAGGTAGAGCAAAGTCTATTTACATAGGGAAACTATCCCTCGCTTCTCTGCCAGAGAAACGTGGAATTTAAATTTTGACTATCTTTTTCTACGTCTGTAAAGACTCAGCAAGATGGATCGGATCTTACTTTGCACTTGTTAGGACAAAAAAATGTTTTATAAAAGAATCTGTCATATTAATTTTCATCTGTACATTGTTTCCTTGCATTTTAAGGCTCATAAATCGACAATTTGGCTGTGTAGACATTTACCCCAGAATAGAGATGTGTTTATCACTGCTGGAGGATCTGGCACTCTCTGCCTTTGGAAATAGTAAGTTTTCATCCCTTTCCTTTTCTTTTCATAAACTTATCATTTTCCAATTAAGTTTGGCGATAATCTGAACAAGCAGTGAACAATTATTTATTAGTGATAATACATTTTCGGAATGTAAATTATTTGCTTGTATCAAAGTATATTTGAACCAGTAAATTTACAAATATACTGAACAACACAAACAATGCGACAGACTGAAAAAAGCAGAGGTAGAATAACCCAAAAAAAATGCTGAGGCTTAAAAATTGTGGATGTTTAAAAGACAGGTGCATTTCAGAGTCCTGTCAATCCCTCAACACTTGGGGTTGTCAGGACTCCGAAACGTTTGGACCTCTTTAACCACTACCATTTTTACACGTTGACGAACTAATTGTTGTGTTTTCCCCCAAATTAACTTAACAACTAATATAGATTTATTTTTCTATTTTCTTTTTTCAATCTTTCAGTGACTATCCAGGGAAACGATTCAAAGAGGACTCTGATGGACTCAAAGAAGGAGTCATGGGAACTATCAATCTGTTGAGGAACGTTGAACTATCTTCTCAACCTATTTCAAGTTTCAACTGGAGCCCAGATAAGTCTGGACTCGCAATCTGTACTTCTTTCGATCAAACTTTAAGGATGTTAATAGTCACTAAACTGAATACCCTTTAAGGCTGTAGAATATTCAAAATACACCAATTTAGCAATTAAAGACCATGGTGAAATCTGTAAACTTGTAAGAGGTATGACACTTCTTGATGAAAAACGAGGAAAACTAGGGACAATTTCCTGATATTAAGATAGAAAACACCCGATAACTAGGCTGCCGGGTTATCAAAGAGTGTGTTATGAAAGAAGTAAGTAGAGTTCTGTACGAGGCACGGGTAGCACATGCCCTTATGTATCCCGAGGCATATCTCAGAATGCACTTAGTGCTCTTCTCTGTAACAACGCTGTAAGGCTCTTCTGCTTAACGGTTGAATGGGATGCAATGATGCAAAGAGTTTTCAAACTTGTTTTTACCTTTCATGCCTGAGTGCTTCGCTCAAAGATTTGATGGGTCGGAAAATTTGGAGGTTAAAATGTAAAAAAGGGCAGGGAATGGCACCAATGAAAGCAATGCAGTGTGGTAAATAGGGTTGGTCATTTCGGTGATGCTTATAAGGCCGTACGCATGGAGCATCCAATGACACATAAGAATAACAAAATTTCGAACATCCGTTATAGTTGACATGACTAGCTCTTTCATGGACTGAAACATAAAAAATGTAATGCACTGTAATATTTGTCTGCTAGCTCATAAAACATGTTCATGATTGTTCAACTTTATTGAGTGGAATAATTAAAACTACATATTTTTTTAGAAGTACAATTGATTCTTGGTTATTTCTGTATTTATGGACTTTGACCCTGCTCTTATTAGGATTCTGTCTCTTATTTTATTCATCTAGTATCTGCATAAGACTACTATGATATTATCAATTGGATCAACCATGCATGGTTTTAGACAGCATAGGATCAAGTTTCTATGATGAGTGATCTGTATGCCTTTCAAAAGCAACTTAAATTACAAATTTTGAAACTGTTGAGGCTCAGTGGGTTCTCAAATGAGAAGAAAAGCTACAAAATTACTAGACATTGGAAAATTTCGCTTTTATTTTCCCCCGATTTCGCAGTTATTTTTCCCGAATTTCGCTGTTATTTTTCCTGATTTCGCCGTTATTTTGGTAGTGTTTATTGCGTTTGACAGCTTAAAATAAAGCTTTAAATTTTACTTAACAAGCCATCGCTCAGTTTCTCTCTCTCTAATCCTATTTTATAGAAGAAGCACTTTATTCTTGATAAAAAAAAACAGCTGTTGCTAACTTTTTAAAAGCACTTTTTAATTTCTTATTTTGAAAAAAAGCGCGGCAAATTTTGTCTTACACACAAACATACGTAAATTTCATGAAAACATAGGGATTTTGCGGATAAATTTGGATGATTTCCTGGTAATTTCGCGGATTCCGCGATAAATGCGGAAAATGGCCGATTTCGCAATATTTCGCTTTATATTTTAATGATCAAGGGGTTATGACCAGTGCTTCTGTCTGGTTTTCAGATTTCTAAGCACATTCTAAAAATTTTGCGGCAAATCCGGCGGCGAAATTTTCCAAAGTCTAACAATTACGAACAAAAAGTATCTGTATGAATTATTCATATCGGTATACCTATGTTTTTATAAAAAATGAAATAATAAAATCTTGATTCACAAAAAATGTTTATGTGTAGAGTTTTAGAGTCTACTATGGAAAGAAAAAAAAAACAAATATATACTTGAAAAATTGATTACTTACCTGGTCCAGTTTAAATGCAAAATGAATTGCGTTCGAGATCACAGATAAAATGATTAAAATATATGGGAAGGTATAATCTGGAAAAAAGATAAGGATAACAAGATTTTAAAAGATTTAATAAAGCTTTGAGAAAGAAACTACAAACCTATGAAAAAAATGTATCTTTATGAATGAGCTCTCAACACAGCAAACCTACCTAGATGCAGTTTTTTTTTTTTTTGTTTTTTTAAATTACAGCAGAATTTATAATAAAGTTTAGAGTTATAGAGTCAACGCCATAAAGATGGCAATCCAATAATATCGTCTACCCACAGACTGAATATTTTGCAGAACAAAGAGAAAACTTCGCCATTTTTGTAATATTAAGGTTAAATTTGTAATTAATTCATGCATTAGAGCATCATTGAAGCGCTCCCCTACAGAATTGGGAAACAACTAAAATCATCAGCTTGCATATTTCATACTATAGAATGCGGCAAAGTTAATTGTCAGTTAAGCGGTATTGTTTGTTAGCCATCGATAAGCAACTCTATAATTCAGGAACTGCATTCACTGTCAGTTATTTTCTTCAGCAATCATTTCGGATATTGGATGATAGTGTATTTTTTTAAGAATGATTTCACTCTGTTTTGGGAGAAAAATTCTCACAATCATCATTCAAAGGCTACTTGGTTCTTATCTTGTTGTCGATTCATTGGAGAAGAAGGCAAGTAGCCTTCAACATGACAACAAAAGAGATTCCTCAAAATTAGGCGAGAGAGAGTTCATAAAAATTTAATCCTCTAATTTGTTGAAGAACAATAATTTAAAACGAGAATGGGCCACTTAAAAAGGTGTCAATTTAAGAATTAGTATGGGTTTTCTCTTTAAAATTTTGTGTTGAAAACTATCAGCGCAACAAAAATAACTTACACTTACTCCTGACCAAGATCTTGATGTTATCATTTAGCCGTCGTCACGAAAAATTTGAATTTCCTGCTCACAAGAAAAACCAGAATGAATCAATTGGCACACTACAACAGCTTTGGCAGGCTTCTCAATCGAGCTGTGTTCCTCCTCCACCCTGTGTTGTTCAAAGTGTTAACAACTAGCATCTGCTGAGCCGAAGTGCCAAGGTTAAAAATGCCATATTTTCATGCTGTCAAGGCGGTTACAGTGAAATTTAGTTTGCAATTTGACTCAAGTAGATAATGGTTTTTTTAGGAGCTGGAAGTTTGAATTGATGCATCAAAAACCATTCATATCTTGGCTGGGAGTTACTTTTAATGATTCTTGCTGCACAAATTGTATTCTCCATGAAATCTTGATGAGAAAACTTTATTCATTATGCTTAAATTTGCACCTTAGCTAGCAGTCCCTTATAATTTTACCACTCCTAATATTGTATACTTACAAATAATTCCTCCATAGACCGCATGTAACAGGCCCAAGAATGGATAGAAGTAAAGACCTGCATAGATGCTGGACTTTCCATAATTATCAAGTATTAAAGTTACTAAAATTGGCCGAACCACCAGAAGCATAAATATTCCTAACAGGTAGAAAATAAAGACCATTGTGTACCTGTTCAAGGACAGAAAAATCACAACCATTGAATTAACACAAACCTGCATTAGTCACAGAAAAGATAAATTTGCACTCGAACTCCCTCCAAAATCCTATCAACTCTCATTAGAAACTATTTAAGTTGTAATGGGACACTTTGATGGTCAATGGATCTTTAATTAAGAGATGGGTTTTAATTGCTGATTGAAAACCAGAGTACGATTGCTTCACAATGTGACTTCAGAAGGGAAGTTGTGATAGCAGGAGTATACTTCTTTTGTTGCAGACCCATCTAAAATATTGAGATCAAAATTTTTTTATTACAAAATCACGGTAGTCTTTCTGGATGATGCTACCCGCTTATGGGATAGTATGCAGGGCTATGCAGTTTTGTTATGAGTAATGACAAATAGAGTATTTTTTAGAGCATAGTAACTTAGCGTTCTGAGTGGTTCTATCATTTCTACTGGTCTGGAAGAATCAACTGTCCAAACATACTTTTTAAATCCACCCATGTCTATTGTTTTTACTTGAACTCTCATTTCTCGTAAGTCTAATGTTTTTTACCCCATAAATCAAAAATTGTAAAAAAAAGTATCAACTGTTTCTCCAACTTACAATGGATAAACTGCTTCTTGGGTGCAATGAAGTACAATCTCATAGTTAGGATTCGGATTGTAAAACAAGGTGTACCAATCTGCAAAGTTTGTGATGGGGCACGAGCGAATGGTGAAAGATCCGAACGGTTCCACCATGAATAGAGTGAGAGCAGCGGCCAAAGCCACCTCAACCAATGCAATGAAATGCAACCAAAGGGAACCTTTGCTGAAACTGGAAATAAAATGCAAAAAAATAGGAAAATATTACTTTCATGAATGCTTTGACAAAAGAATCTTCAAGTTCATAACTTACATGCACACTTCAGCCCCTGACTAATGGAACTGTATTTTTTTTTTTTTTTTTTTAATTTGTTTTCCTTACCTTTTTTCATGACAAGAGCTCTTTAGAAAAGCATATCATGTTTGCAAACAAATTTATTTCTCACCAAGCGTTGGCAAGCTCAGGGATACAACTTTGTCTCCAACTGCTAGCGAGTTTACCATGGCATTAAAATAAAATTATTTGGCTTGAGTTTACCATGTCTCATGTATGTGCCTATCAAAAGATTCAAGAATGCTCGGAAAAATCTGATTTTATTTCTCATTTTCTTCATTACACGTAACTAAAAAATAGCTCATTTTAGGTTTCCGGCATCATTCTCTGTTTCTATTAGTTGTTACATAGCGGTACTGAATTAAACCTTCTCCAGAAATGAAGACAGAAAATTGGTTTCAAACTTTAGAGCAAACGAAAGTAGCAAAAGCTGCTTGAAAATGTTTTACTCAAGCCTAATTAACTTGAATAGAGGTGATGGCGTTCTTTTCGAATAAATTGATTTCGAGAAATCGATTTGATTTTCGGTAAAAAATCGATTCGATTTTAAAATCGGTTGGAAAAAATCGATTTTCTTCGATATTGATTTAAAACACTTAAAAATCCATCTTCGACGCCAAAAACAAAATTGCTACTAAAACTGAACTTGAATTGAAACTCAAGTTTCGCAGAACTGAGGCCTTTTTGTGCCACATTAATTTAGGAAATTTCAATTTCTGCTCAAAAAATCGATTTCGATTAAAACTTAGCAATAAAAAGTCGATTCGATTTTCTCGATTATTTTTTCCAAAAAATCAATTTACCGACATAATCGATTTGATATCGCCGTCACTACTGAATAGTCCGAAACATGCAGCCACAATGGGAAGCAACCATGCATCTTGTTCTGAGGCAACCAAACAGTTTTTCGAAACACTTTCCTCAGAAGCAATTTCATCCATTGTATAAGATGTGAATGATGCAGAAACGGCTTGAGTTGTTGAATCAATTTTAAACTGAATTAATACAGCTTTTATTTGCATTTGTGACTAAAAATATTTACATGCCATTGATCTCTGCGAAACCAGATAGCAGTTCCTGGGAGACTTACCTTCCTCTGAAATGCCCTTTGTTTCCAATACAGAACCAATGAAATATCAGTGGTACTAGAACCATGAAACCAAGATACAACCAATCGTAGAAGGAGGGAGAGCCTTGACATGGTTCACAGATAGATGAATTCGCTTTGAATCCTCTAGGACACGGACCACACGAGCTGTACGTCCCATTAGAGAGCAGTACCCGACCACAATAAACACCAGGACAAGATAGTTTATCAACCATTTTACGTGAAATTCCTTTGATGGCATAAATGAACCATCTCTATTGCTATCCAAAGTCTTCGGAAAGGGGATAACTGGCGCTCATGTCGGGGCTCCTTCGCTAGGAGCAAAGATTCTCATCTGCAACGATGACACTAACTGTTTAAATACTTGGTAGGAAAAGAGGTGAGTAAATATAGAAAGTAAATGATAGATTGCAGTCACAACTTAAAAAGTTATTCACTGTAAAACACTAAATTCAACTGATTTGTAAATTAAGTATCTTGGTTTGTTTATTTGATCAGCTGTTCACATTTTTTAGGTTAGAATAAATAATTTACTAGGGGGAAAAAATACTTCCCCTTGTGGTGTAAAATAATTGTTAAGTCCAAGTCTCCGATTGACATTGATTCAATTATATTTAATTTAAAAGTAAAGAAAAAATACAAAAGACAGACTCGTATAAAATTAAAGATAAAAATACAGTCAATTTCTACTGATAATGAATTTGATAGAGAAAGTGAAGAAACTAAGATTTTAGTATCACGGCAACACTGTAACATTGTTGTGGTTTTCGCGTGCGCGCGTGTGTGTGCAAAATTGCTAAAAAGTAAGCCGGCACGTTGCGTGTGGAATCAAAAGCAATTTCAATACTTTTAAATTCCTCTCAGATCGTTGAAAATTGGTGAGTCCTTTTTCCAATTAAATTTTTACCATCAGAAGTTACCTACAGTTCAAACCACCCTATGAATCGGTATCCAAAGCTGCTCAGTTCTTAGCTTGATGGATGGCGTTATCACCGAAGTGGTTTTTTTTCCCTCTATTATCAGCGGGCATTCGTCTTAATCCCTCAGTATACAACAAGATAATACATAGAATTAATACAGTATCCTCATCAAGCTGTATCAATTCTACTATGTGTAATTTAATCGGGGATTCTGTTTAAACCAGAGTGGCCAGTTCGACCGTAGCCTTTGAAGTGTAGATGGTACTTAGCATTGTATCAGTTACTTTCATTCCGCAGGGACAGTATAGCACAGTGGAAGTCATGTATGGTATTATGAGAAAATGTAAATATTGACTTTAAGACCTAAGTCACTAGATTACTGTACACCTCAGTTTCTACACATAGAAGTGCACCTATGTTTGGAGCAAAATGTTCGCCGAGGAGTCAATTACTGGTTTTAGATTTCAAAACAGGAACATACCAAAGACCTATCCTTCTTCTGGTGTATCATTTAGGATGCCCTTGACCCGTTTTGCTTTCAGTCCCACAGACGAAGAAGATTTCATTACTTTCCTTAGAACTACACATCGAGATGAAACCTTTATCGGAGTAAGTTGAGTGATGTTGCCTACTCAATTTAAATCCAATGATCCTTTAAATGCAAATCTCCTAGATGGAATTCTTAGGATGCACGCTTTCATTTTTTGGTGGGGATTTCCTCATGAGGCACTTTTAATCTTCATTTAAAAATGTGATTTTTACAAGATTTTGTGTATTTTCTTTTTTGCAGCAAGTGGTTATGTCGAATAACAAGCGTTTGTCTTGTGGTCGAGATTGTTTGCCATGGTGTGATCTACGTGAAACGTTAACGTACATTCATGATGAAAGGTTAGAGAACCCTCACTTAAATCTAATTTTACACTATTAATTTATTTTGCTATAGTTACTTAATTCAAATCAAAGTTAATATTAACACTACTGTCTAAAGTTGTTTAAGTTCCATTGCTTTATTTGCTGTGTTTTAATATTTCTGAAAGGATACAATATTTGAGGGGTTTAGAGAACAAGGCGCTTAAGTGAAGTTTTTCCTATTTCAAAAAAGAAGTGTTTGAAGTTTCGAATTTACATGCATCTTAATGGCGGAAAGAAAGTCCAAACTGACTTTTTGATGCTTAAAAATTGGAATTTGGGGGCAAATAATTTTTCCCAAAATATGTATTAAGACTAGTCCTCCTTGAAATCATTAAAATCTCAATTTTTTCTAAAAGTGCACAAATGCACCTTGTCCTCCAAGCCCTTCATTTGTGAATAACCAATAACTTTGCGTTTGCTCCAGTTGAAGAGCCTACAGCCATAATCAATAAGTATATCTTGAGGCTCTCTTTTTCGTACACATTGACTGTATGCAAAAATGGTATATATTTTTACATAAGTTACTGCACATAGACATGTAAATGAAGATCTTTGCATAATTTTTCTCTAGAGGGTAACTGTAACCATCTATGCAATTTTTTCAAGCTAAACAATGAATTTTGAAACCACTGCTGTTTTTTGTCTGTTCTAGTTTTGATTTTGCGAATATCCCTTTGTGTCATCCACGATTTAGGCGAGAATTCATCTCTGGTAAAAGCATGACTAGAAAAGGTCCTTTCACCAGGCCTGATATGTGTCTAACTAGTTCAGGTTGGTTACAGTACATTATTTTTACACTGTTGATTTTCCGAAGAAAAACAAATGTCTAAAGAAAGTTCCACATTATTTGTATTTTCATCTTTCCACATTTAAGTAAAAAATGACAAAAAATGTATTTTTTTAAAAATAAGAAGACAAATAAGTAATTTACAACTTCAAGAAACGCAGTTTTCTTGTCAGATGTGTATCATTATGCATTTCTTGAGACTTCGGTTCTCTTTCAGCACAAATTTTACAACATCTCACATACAACAAACCACATCGATGATGATTTGAAACACAGATTGCTTCAGTTGGAAAATGTGTATATCCATATCATCCATTGCAATGTTTCAAAATCACTGATTGTGTTTCATTTTTTGTCAAGGAAACCAGCTAAAATACCCTATCAAAAGTTTCTGTGAATGGGAGTGAATATTTTGAGAAAATTCCAAGAGAGTTTCCCTCGAAAAATTAAACATGATTCAAGATTTGCAACATTTCGTTTGAAGGTACACATTTTTTAACTTGATCAAGCTCTCTAGTCAATAATGCCGACTGTAACAAATCTAAAATGATTCTGTACGCTTTCCTCTCAGTTTTCAGATCATTATCCAAGATTATAAATCATGGATTGTATCAATCTTATTTATTTTTAATGAAAAAAAAAATGTTTGGGTTGAAAAAAATGAAACTTCTTTCATTTTATGCATAAATTAATTTGAAGCGCTAAAAAAGCAAGGAGGATCAAATATTTGTCCCCCGAAAAAGAATTACTTTGACTACTGACAATCGGAACATTTTAAGTGGTTGCTTCGCCAAAAATGCGCCACTAGACAAGGTCTTTTTTTTTTTTTTTTTTTTTTTTTTTTTTTTTTTTTTTTAGATTTTTATTTTGTAAACTTCCAAAGGAATTATATACAATATCTTTACAATGTAATAAATCAGTATACAAGAGACAACAGAGAAGTTTCTTAATTCTTGAAAGAAAAGAAAGGTAGACAAGGTCTGATTTAGAAAATAATATGTAGGGGGGACAAAATAATAATATAAAGGGAGAGAAAATATGTAATGTTGTGCTTTAATTAATACTATATCTTGCGGCCCATTGATTCAAAGAGCTAATTTTCTCTGCTGTTTGTGTCAATTAAAATTTTGATCCAGCTAAATTTCTCTTCTTCTTTCTTGATCTAATCACAGACTGGAATTCTATGGTGGTTGGAAAGATTTCCCCATATATCACACTGGATTCTATCAATTCGAAAGCGAGGAAGCTCAGTCAGGAAACTCTTGTGCAAGAACTTATGTACGCTGCTCATCTTGGACTGCCTGCTGTTACTTTCCGCCTCACGAAACCTGACAACCCTAATTTAGCCCGATATATTTTCTCCAAAATCATACCTGGTTGTTTCTATCAGGTAATAATCTCAAAGAAACTGCGGTTTAGTTTTATTGTTCGCTCTGCATTCCCAGAACCTTGTCTTTCAGTTGGCACAATCTTCTCTGAGACTGTTGTTATCATCCTTGGACTCAGCGTTTAAAAAATCCAAAAAAAAAAATAAACCACTAGAATCAAGGACCTTTTTTTTCTAGATATAGAAACCTGCATCATTTTACAAGACTGAATTTGCTTATTCATGGCAAATAGCTCTACCATTACTAGCTGAATAGCTAAATGTGATTGGGTTGTAAGGGTTTTTATGGATTAATGGGAAAAACTTGCCCTCCTGAAACCTTATCAGATTATTTCATGTTCAGGGGTATTTTTTTCTGTCACAAGCATTACATTTTGACACTTTAAAGTGTCGTAAAGAGCTAATCTGGAGTAAAAAAAATTCAAAAACATCTTTAAACCCTTGCCAAAGGGGTCCCCCCCTCTTATCCCTCAAAGTTTCAGTAAAAGAATGAAACCTTGGAAAGAGTCATACTAAAAAAACAGTTTCATGGACATCACAAATTTAAGGCCTCTCTTTGCAATGTCCATGATGCTCTATTTTCCAATGTAGCTCTTTCTGACGTTTAATTCTTTCAATAAAACTTTGAGGGAAAGTTGGACACCCCTCTCGTTAGGGCTTAAGGATTTTCTTAAAAAATTCGACTCCAAATAATTAGCCCTTTACAACATTTCAAAGTGTCAAAATGTAAAGTCTGTGACAAAGGAAAAATGACTTTAGGGGAAGAGTAAATTTTATGTTGGAGGTCTGATGGAGCTTGTTACGCAATTTTTTACGTGTACTAGTTTCCTGGAAAATTAATTTTTTTCAAAAATATGTATTTCTCAGCTCAGAGGCATTTGGAAATATCAAGTTCCTAAACGTTAGGAAAGCAAATTATTTAAGGATCGTATGATTTTCTTTTCAAACATTTTTTCAGATTTGGATTCAAGTACCACTAGTGAGTCCAGCTGTCACAGCCAACAGCTACAGATCCAATCCTGAAGAAATGAGCCCTGTTTCTGACACGTGGCATTGGTAGGTTGAAAGTGTAACTATTAATTTTCATCCTGCCTCAAAGAGAATTGTAAGAATCGTTTTGGGATGGATGTCTCAACCAATTTGAAGAAATGAAGCATATTTTTTTTACCTTCCGGCCGAGGTGTCACAAGCACTGTGTTACAGAAAAATTAATGGACAGAATCATTTGGAAACTTTACGTAACATTTCTTTTGTCAATCAAGATTAACCCTAACATTTTCATGAAAGTATATGCATGGGTTTTACAGAAAAATTAAAACAATTTTGAGTTGTCTGACAACATAGCATTGAAGCTTGAGTAGGTTCAGTGATACTTTGGCCAGAAGGTGACAATATTTTGCTCTTGTTTCTCCTGAAAAACTTCTGCAGACGTGTGAAAACTACATGTGAACGTATGAGATTCCCATTGCCAACGTATTAAGCTCAGCTGTGTCAGATTTCAACATGATCAAACTTTACCAGAATATTTCAACTGAACTTACCTCAAGAGGGGATGCCACCTTTTTTCTTCATGTGGCTTTCAATCATTCTTCTCCAGCAATTTTAAAAAATCTCTGTCCTCCTCTCCTTCAGCACCAACTTCTCTGTGACCGTACTTAGAAAATAGACCTGAATGCTAAAAAACTCAAAAGTTAGTAAAAAAAAAAAAATCTGCTACCTAGAGGAGTGTTTCGTAAATATTTCGTAAAATTTTCAAACTAGATTGAGGTCATGGTGACGTCAGGATTGCAATTCTAAAATTCTAAGTTTAAGGGGAAGCAAAAACAAATTTTGTTAGCCTGTATCCCTGGTTTAGTATAATCTGAATAAAACGTATTCATTCACACTCTAATAGTGCTGAAGTAAAATAACTGATCGCAACTTGTCCTTTGGATCACTAGAAAATTTTTCCTCCACCTAACTGTCTGAAGTTACTCTGAAAAGATTGTCGAAAAAACTAAGATTTCTTTTACCTTTCCTCGTGACCTCATTTCACTTATTCATCTGCCTATTTTTTATTTCAGGTGGAATAATTTCAGAAGTCTTTGCAACTCAGAAAAAAAACTAGGACTTGTTCTTGAAGTATCATACGAGAACCCGCCAGCTGAAGAAATTAACCGATGGCTCGGCGAACCAGTGAAGGCGCTGGTTGTCCCTACGGATATTTTTCTGACGAACAAAAGAGGCTATCCTGTTTTATCCAAATCACACCAAAGTTTGGTTAAAGCTTTCTTCAGTCTAGATGTCCAAGTGATAGTTAGTGGAAATAGTCATCATGTCGCAATTAAGCACTATCAGCAGTACTTAAATTATTTGTACCAGGTATGCTTTAACACTGATACTCGGAATATTTACAGTAGAACTTCGCTTAGTCGGAATGCATCGGGACCAAGGATTCAGTCCAACTTAGTAGGGTTTCAGAATGGAACGGACTTCGTCGAATTTTTCTCCGCAATTTCGAATTTCGTGCCAAAAGCGCAGCTAAACTACTCCACGTCGTAACAACACGTTGAGCGCTCATGGCCACTGCCGAAACCACTGAATGAAAGGCAACTGAAGGTAGTATTTCAATCATTCTTCTAACTTTGAGGTCTCCTAAAACTGTAAGGAAGACATTGGTTGAGGAAGCTGTAAAGTTATGGGATAGCGCGGCGAACGGTGACCACCAATCGCAGAAAAACGTGGCATGAGTCCGCACTTTGCTCTGATGATCCTTATCTTGTTCGGAAGCCAACCATTTGATGCTGAGTGAACGATTTATGACTTCTCTGGACGGAGGGTGCGCTAATGTCATGGAGTGGAGGGGGGGATGCCAAAGGCATTCGGTTCATTTCAGTTTGACTGCATAGTAATCAAGGCAGCACTGTGCTGCAGCGTGGCGGGTGTGGGGCTGTCACTTAGCTCCCACCTTTAGTGAGGCGTAACGAATTTGCGGAGAGTTATGGGAATAATGAAGATGAGAGACCGATGAGGAAAGTTCTGAGTTAGTGGAACTTTTTATGGGATCTTTTCAAGTTTGAGACCAAAAAATTTTACCAAGTCAGAGGGTTTTCTGAGTTAGCCGGATATTTTAGCATTGCTGAAATAGGCGAGAAATCGAGACTGAGTTATGATTACTGAGTTAAGGGGGGTTCCGACTTAGTGAAGCTCTACTGTACTTGGCAGAAATTTTTTCTTCTCAGGAATCATACTTTGTCGAAGCCAAGTCTTCCCTGAGTTTTCATTTGTATCAGGAAATAATTGTGGGAATTGATTCTGGAACTTTTTTAGCTGTTATTGATTTTGTAATGAAAGGTTCGTTTGGATCAAAGAAGAAACAAGAGCTGTAATTTGAAAGATAGGCAATGTGGCATTTCTAACTTTCAGAAGCTGGGAGGAGATCTTGTCTAATTGCATAATAGTTCCTGACAATTTCTGATTTTGACTAGTGCCAAAATGTTTAGCTCTTACAGGATAATATTGTAGGTAACTTGAGTGTTTTTTTCCTTTTTTTTTTCTGTTAAATAAATCAAAAGCGTAGAAAATTTAATCTATTAAGTACAAACTAACAAGGTTAACAGCTGTAAAATAGGAAATTTGCAACATTGCAAACCAAAATATGTGGTCTGGTAGTTTCAATGTCGATTTTCTCAATTCTGTGGCAACTCGGTTAAAAACTGATTCATGAATGCTTCATTTCAGTCGGCAATCCAACATGATCCTGTGACGGTTTTTGCCACTGGTTACGAAGACTACTTGCAGTGTCCTCTGCAGCCGCTCAGTGATAACCTGGAATCGCAGACTTATGAAGTGTTTGAAAAAGATCCTATCAAGTACAGAGAGTATCAGAGAGCAGTCTACCAAGCTCTTCTTGACAGAGTTAGTGAGGAAAATGCGAGCACAGTTGTCACGTAAGTTTACTCTAATTTTCTGAATTAATCCTCTTTCATAGTGCTCTGCGATAACCAACCACTGCAGTCTTCCCCCCTTTCAAAGCACTTTAGAAAAGACACTTATCAGCATTAGCAACAAATTCAAGCATCTCCTTTGGCAGAACTTCTTTTGTCATTAAGTTAACATCGCTATACCAGACTAGCTGTTTGGTTGTACTGTCGAATACTATATCCTTCTCCACTTCCATTATCTGACGCACTCTACTATGACGGACCCAATCCCTTCTAGAAGTCCCTGCCAATCTCCTCCGGAAATCCTTCGTCATTACTCATGGTGTATCCTGTGTTTTAATTTTTTCTTTTTCCACATGAATGCGTGCTAAAGAAAACTATGAACTTGCGGCACTTTTTTTCAGGTGCACATGCTTTCGAATTAAAGTATCCAAAACAACAAAGATAGTAAGATAGCCCCTTCTTCCAAATATTTATTGTTTGCTGGAAAATAATCTGACATAAATTATATTAATAAATCTGTGAAAAGTGATCCCATCACCCCGGAGAAAATTTTCCTTCAACTTTTTGCAAATACACGAAGGAAGAAAATCTGGACATTTTGGCGCAAGTTTGACCCTAAAATTTCAAAAATTGACGGAGATATTAGTCCTGGAGAGTTCCAAGACAAAAATTATTTTTTGTAGAAAAACGTAGTTAATAAAAATTTTCTCACAGAAGGTAAGGTCCCTTTTCACTGATACAGTCACAAATCATCATCCATCAATGTTGAAAAAATAAAACAAATTATGCCCAGCTGCCCTGTCCTGATATGATCCATTGAATAATTGAAATTGATAGATAAAGAAGACATAAGAAGCATGAAGCGATCCTATAGGTTGAAATGTGTGGTTCTTATAGACTTAGAGAGAAAATTATGGACGAACTGTAAGGTCTCTCATAGGCTGCCGTTAGTTAGTCTACTTCTTACCTCCTTTGTCAATTGCAACCACCCACTTCTATCAGTAGGATGCCTCCAAATTCTTTTTGTCCCCTTTGTCCATTGCTTTGTCTACCAATTTCAACAATCAGCCTGCTGCACTCTACTTTTCAAAAGACAGAACATGCTTGAAACCCAATCTATATAGTCTTGTGTAGATAAAGCGTTACAATCTGAAAATATAGCCTATGATCAGTCAATCAAATATTCTGAATGGGCCTGTTGCATGCAAGAGATACAGCCGTGCGAATAGACTTTTTAGAGGTTAAATGACACGAAAATTACGATGGTCACATTAAAAAAGTCTGAAATACACTCCTTACTGCGCAATTTGCGTTGTTAGGAACGCGCTTTTTCAAATTTCCCGCGTCTGGGGGCAGTTTTCTAACGGAAACAATTAACGGCAATTGGCGGCTATTTCCGGTCAACTAAAATTGACAACATAAACTAAAAATCGGAGCTCGTGATATCGTGAAATGAAATGTAGAAGGATTGCGTTGGATATTTAAAAGTTGATCGATTTGGTTACCGCATACAGCGTATATGGACCACTATAAGAGATCACGTTGGGTTTGTAAACAAACTGAAGGAAAAAATAACAACAACAACAACGACTCAGCATCTTCCGGAAATCACCGAGCCCGCCGTTTGCTCGTTTCCGGTGATTAGAAAACTGCCCCCAGACGCGGGAAATTTGAAAAAGCGCGTTCCTAACAACGCAAATGGACCACTAGACAAGGTACAAATTCAAGCAATCTGATATATGTTTCTTAACCAGAATTTCACGGAGAACACGATTCGCGCAACGAAAATGACTGAAACCAGCTCCTGATGAAGATATTAACCTTTTTATTTCACATTGGTTACGCGGATTTTGAACTGCCCGCTCACAAGAAACTCAAAGCTCTACGTGAGTCAAATCGCGCACCACAACAGTTTCAGCTAGCCTCTCAATCGATCACTGTTCATAACCCACCATGTGTTGTTCAAATTATAAGCAATTTGCTATAGCTGAGCCCGCAAGCGTCAAAATTGAGGTTGCCAGATTTTTATATTGCAAAGACTGTCATGATAATGTTCAGTGCGCGATGTGAATCACGTAGAGCATTGAGTTTTAATGAGCGGGTGGTTTGAATTCACGCATCAGGAATCATTTAATATCATTGTAAGGAGTTAATTTCGGTAATGTTTGTTGTGCGCATCGTGTTTTACGTGAAATTTTGGTTAAAAAATATGTATCAGAATGCTTAAATTCGTACCTTGTCTAGTGGTCCATTGTGCAGTAAGGAGTGTATTTCAGACTTTTTTAATGTGACCATCGTAATTTTCGTGTCATTTAACCTCTAAAAAGTCTATTCGCGCGGCTGTATCTCTTGCATGCAACAGGCCCATTTCATTTGCAATTCGTTGAGACTATTAAAAAATATTGGAAACCGTCTTATCTTTCAAAACCTGAACTTCACTGTATTACTTAATTTTAACCATGTATATTTAATGTAAGTGAGACTGATTTCAAAAATAAGTTCAATAATTCTCCTCTCATAACGGTTCGTGTTAATTATTTGATAATTTTCTTTTCAGTGTGGTCATGGTACTGGGAGCAGGCAGAGGACCTCTAGTCCGAGCATCTTTGAACGCAGCCGAATTAGCAAACAGACTGATTAAAGTGTATGCTGTTGAGAAAAATCCCAATGCCATTGTCACGTATGTATTTTGACAGTTCTTACCCCTACACATCCACCCAGAGGTATCATTACTTCCGACACGGAACTTACCAATTATTTTTGGAGACACTGGTCCAGTGTTACCGTTCTGCGTAATTGAGGACTTTTTTTGCGTAATTGGAGGGTTGCTGCGTAGTGGCTGCGTAATGCGTAATGCTGCGTAATTGGAAGAATTCTGCGTAATTCGTGCGTAATTGAAGTTTTTTGAAAATTTCAGTTTATTATCGCGGTTTTTAGGTTAGGTACGTCATGCCGACCTTGGTAAACGGTCGTAGTGAAGATAGTTTTTTACCTAGAAGCAATGCTGCAAACTTTGCTACTAAATTCCCACCTTACATAGGAAACGAAAATATTTCAGAATTTCAAAATAAGCGTAAGATTGTTCAAAATTTGAGTGAAACTGCGTAATTGCTGCGTAATTTGAAAATTTTTGCGTAATTTCTGCGTATTTTGACAATTTTTCCTGCGTAATGGCGTGCGTAATTGGGAAATTTTTCTGCGTAATGTTGCGTAATTTGCTGTCGGGGTTGCGTACGCAGAACGGTAACACTGCACCAAGCACACATTATGCCTTCCTTGAATATGTAGATACTTTTTTTTCTATCAATTTAAATGAGAATAATCCATACGAAATGTGCGAAATAGTAGCTCAAAGCGCTGCGGCATGCCGGNTTTATTATCGCGGTTTTTAGGTTAGGTACGTCATGCCGACCTTGGTAAACGGTCGTAGTGAAGATAGTTTTTTACCTAGAAGCAATGCTGCAAACTTTGCTACTAAATTCCCACCTTACATAGGAAACGAAAATATTTCAGAATTTCAAAATAAGCGTAAGATTGTTCAAAATTTGACTGAAACTGCGTAATTGCTGCGTAATTTGAAAATTTTTGCGTAATTTCTGCGTATTTTGACAATTTTTCCTGCGTAATGGCGTGCGTAATTGGGAAATTTTTCTGCGTAATGTTGCGTAATTTGCTGTCGGGGTTGCGTACGCAGAACGGTAACACTGCACTGGTCGCTTACATTAAATCAGGCAAAAAACTTTGCTGCGTCCAGTCGAATATGACTGAACAATTTAAACAAAGAATGGCAAAGAAAAATAGGTTTGCGGATGGATCCTGTCGGTGATGACTTTTCTCGGAACTGACAAGTGGACGTGTTGAAACAGATTCCACTCAGCCTCCATTGCTAATTAGCAAGCATGGATGTGTTCCGGCAGCTTAATTGGACTTGGTCCAGTTTTTTTGGGCTTGAAGAAATATTGACACTGAAACTCCCAAACCACATATTTCGTTTTGGTGTTTTATAACCTTCACCCTTATTTTATTTTTTAAAGGGGAAGAAAACAGTATTATCACTTGAAGTTTTTATCAGTTTTTTTCACACAGAGAAGAAAGGCAATTTTTAAGAATTACTGTTGAGTGGATTCATATTTATCAAATAAAGTATGATAAGAAGTTTGAAGTGTTGCAAATGGAGATAATTGTTTGGGAGTTCCACTGTCAATATACTTATATTACAGCAATAAAAAAAAAAGTTAAACGAAGAGTCAATGATGTCATTAAAATTTGCAGTATCTACGATATCTTGCCTTTAAAAGAGAATTCCTGTTGGATGTTAGTTCCAATTGTTTTTGACATAACCTAGGGTCGCACCGAACATGTGTTTGATTTAAAACTTCCCCGCACGCAATGAAAGTTAATACTCTGAGAAGTTTTTTACAGTTTCACTCCACTTTTGTTTCTGAAAGCTAACTCTTCTATTTTTGTAGGTTAGAAGCACATTGTGAAGAATCATGGAAGAACCAAGTAACTGTGATATCTTGCGACATGCGTGATTGGAATCCACCTGAAATGGCAGACATCATTGTGTCGGAACTTCTCGGTTCGTTCGGAGACAACGAACTCTCACCTGAATGTTTAGATGGTGCTCAGAGACTTCTAAAAGGTATACAAAAAGCTAATGCAAACCTTGAAGATACTAACGTTTTTTCTGTTGGTGACTTCATCCGTTCACTTTCAAGCTGGTTCTAATAACTGTTTTTTTTATCAGTCGCTCCAAGCCAAAAGGGTCACAGTAACAGACATTTCGAACTGCAAGTTTTCATTTCATTGCTGTACAATAGAGGTGGTGCCTGCTTTAATTACGCAATCACTAATGTATTACCATAGAGCACTAATCATTACTTATTAATCAACTGAGAGAAAGTGCTAATGTTTCAGCAATCAACGGAAACTGTCGTTTGTGATATGCAAATTTCACTGTTTTTCAAGCATGTTTTTCTGACCCTGACAACTGAGAACTTTCTCGATGAAAAGTTGTATGAGGCTTACAATGCTGTTAAGATTGTGCAATTTTTCACAGCATTTGCAGCAAATGAAAGTCATTCACAGTGGACTCACCTTGTCACAACAGTGAGGAAAACTTCGGAGCAGATTCTGGCAAAAATTGATGGCAGAGCTTTAGGATTGGCTACTTGTAGTTAAAAAATGACATTGCACAATTTTAGCAGCATTGCAAGCCTCTTACGCTCTTTTACCGGGGTAATTCTTAATTACGCTAAAACACATCAGCAGGGAATCTGTTACATTTTTTTTGTAGAGCACTGATTCCATGCAGATTGATTGCTCATCTTATGCTCGGCGTTTTTACTATCTCAGACCTGTGATATTTTTCAAGCTCTTAAATTTTCATTTTTTTTCTTGTTTCACATAATTATGTTCTTGTGTCTTAGTGTAATGATTTCTTTTAACGATTACAGAGGATGGGATTAGTATTCCATCCAGCTACACCTCGTTCTTAGCCCCAGTACAATCTTCAAAATTGTACAATGAAGTTAGATTAAGCAAAGATATTGGAAAGTTACCAATTAGCCAATTTGAAACTCCATATGTAGTCCACCAAAGGAACAAGTACACAATCAGTGGATCTCAAGCTTTGTTCACATTCCACCATCCTAATAAAGGTAAAGAAAGGATTTGTGATTTATTTCTCTCGTTCTTCAAAATTTTTTCCACTCATTGACTTTTCAAGGGCCTTCACATTTCTGCATATGAGGACTTACATGTAACAATAGGGGATGTCGAGTTTTCACATTGTGAGAAAATCGCGTTTGAAGTTTTCGAGGCTTTGCACTTTGCCGCTCGTAGAAACGAGAGGATCCTTATAAAGATTTTCATGAGGAGCAACTCTTCCTATAAAAAATACACGTTTTACGATCTATGTAAGTGAAAAATTGAAGGAGCAACAGCGATTTGAAAAAAATGTGACATCCGCTATTTTTACTGAAAACACTTTTTTATGCATGAAACAATGCCATCAGTAAGGGTACGGCTGGTGAAACGACTAAAGTGAACCAAAAGAATGTCAATGCTGAGTCATTTAATCGAATTGAACAAAAAACTAAACTGTCCGTAACTTCTACATCAGAAATAAGGAACAAATTATAAAATCAGTTAAAAATTCATCAATACCGGCAAAACGGTCCCGGTACATATCGTTTGAGTGTCAGCTGCAGCCCGTGGCCGGTGCGCGGGCAGTTATCACAATTGCATTAGAATCTCTGCGGTGTCCTGCCGTGCCGGCCGAAGAGAATACTGAGAATAGTGGATTCTCATATCCGCTGTTTTTACAAATAACATGGTTTTCAGTTCATATCTCGCCGAAAAATTACGCTGGAAGTCTGAAACTTTGCACAGGCATTCTTAAGGGCTCCAGAATTCGAAAAAAGCGTTTGCCCTAAAAATGACGGATGTCAGCGACCGCTTTTGTTACATTTATGTCCTCATATGACTGATTACAACTTGCTGGTATGAATCAAGGTCTCAAATAGTATTTAATTGATGTCCAATTTTGTTTTCAATTTCTATAGGAAAGTAAAAAACAGACTTTCTTGAAGGAATTAGGTCTCTGGAAAGAGATTCTCCGGAAAATGCTTTTCCAAATAATCTTGAAACATCAAGTATATTGTTTAAAATTTTTAACATGCAGAATTGTTCCGGACATCATTTATATTTTCTTCTTCCTTTTTTTTATTTTTCAGTTGAGAAACCTGACAATACGAGGTATGGAACTTTGAAATTTGACATCACGCAAGATTGCGTTCTTCATGGTTTCGCTGGTTTCTTCGAAACTGTCTTATACAAAGATGTCCTATTAAGTATAGTGCCCGAAACGTATTCTACTGGTATGATCAGCTGGTTCCCAATCTTCTTTCCTATCTTGGTAAGTTCAATTCTTTCTTTTCTTGGGTATACATTACCTGAACCGCTGACAAAGTTTTTAAGGATCAAAAGTCTAAGGCAGAGGGAAAAGTTCATAACTTTGGTAATTGGAGGAGAATTTTGTGGAAAGCTGATAAGAAAAATTTGGAAAGCCGGTGGATAGGTAATTGAAAATGTGGAAGCATCCCTGGAACAAACCACCTAACTTTACTTTTTGAATGTGAAGAAGTGTCAACCTAATACTGAAAAAAAGTATCAGAGGAAAAGAATTTTGATCTCTAAAGTTGAATCATATCTTAGTTTAAGCGTATCTACAATTCTCACGTTACAAATCTTTGCTCATGTTTTCAGTGGCGTGGTGTGCTTTGCAACATATCGATTGATCGACCATTTAAACCTATGGAAAAGTATCAATAAACAGGGTGTTTGCAGCGAACACCTTAATAATCGATTATTTACCACAGCTTCAAATGGGGAAATATCGATAGATCGCAAAGTACTCCACGTCACTGCATGTTTTATTAATTTATAATAGGACCGTCTCCCAGTTTTTCTCTTGAAATTTTCTCTTACTGAAAAATACTCTCAGAAAATTACAAGGAAAGATTTTGATTTGTTTCCTATTATAAAAAGTGAAACACTGTCGGATATCTTGAACCATCACCATGGACGCACACATTTTTCAACTTCAAACTATCAACGTGCTGCCATAGAAATAGAATTGTTGTCAATGAATCTAGGAGGATTTTATCAATTCTAAAGAAAATTTTAAAACACATAAGTAATGAGAGAGAAAGCCCTCCAGATACGTGGATAGAGTTAAGCAAAACACTTACTTTTTGGTGTTTCCAAATCTCACCTCCTACTTAAATTTTTTGGAAAAAACCAACCAACATCCCCTCTTGAGAATTCTTGCAATTTTTCTTCCTTTTATGAAGGCTATTTTCACGTAAGTGTAAGCAAAAATAAGTAGCTTAGAAAAAATTGAAATAAGTGATTGATTTTGAAACATGGAACTTTAGTGTGACTGTTCTGCTTATCTCTATCCATGAGATCCTTGCTTAGTGACGGAAAATTTGCTGGTCCTTTCTGCCGAAGAAAAGAAGGGATTCTTTGAGGACAGGGCAATAAATTAATCCCAGCGCAAGGGGGGGGGGGAGTGTTAAGGGGTCAATCATGTAATGGTGGAAGAGTGCGTAAGAGAATTTTGCCACTCTCGGAAAGAGAATCAATGCTCTGACCGCAAAGAAATTCATTAAATGCCATGAGGCAAATTTTCGCAAGTGGATTTAGTCGAAGTTTGTAACTTAGTGTCAACCTCTGTTACAACAAATCGAAATTCCCTCCAGGCGATGGTGCGCTTACAACATTAGGTTTTCATGCTTACAGCAATGATGACCACATCCAAAGTTCTCGACCCATCTCCTGAAATGGCTCGAAAAGTGGATGGATGCAAACGTTGGCCAAAGCTCATTAAGCAGCTGAGTTTAGTTCTTAGTCGTATTTTGTTCGCCACAACAATTGTTTCCTGTTACCGATTTTGTGTTATTTGCGTCACTTTTTCACAACCAATGAGAGCAAAGCAGCTAGAAGTGAGGTTAGAAATCTTGTTAACAAAACACAACAGTTTCGTAACATAGCTCTGAGGACGTTCCGATTGTTTCGCATTTGTTTCGAAACAATGTCGCAAAACGTTGCCAAATTGTGCAAAATAATGAAACTAATAAAAATAGGCCACGCCCCTTAACATAAATAACATTCGAACAAAATACGACTGTTACGAGTTGTTCTGAGTTGTTTCGTCGAACAAAATACGACTCTTGACAGCATCAGAGCGTTTTTCTCTTTTGGTTTGCAACCCTGCCGATCTGGTTGAAAAAGTCGACCAGATCCAGTCGCGAATATTTGGCTATGGAGTAATCATCAGACATCGAGAAAATTCACGAGAATCTGTCAGTCCACGTAGAGATACTTCGGCTTTAAGATAGTGTATCATTCTCATGAGAGAAATTTATTGAATGCAAGAAAGAGAAACGCCTCTATGGGGTGGGATCCATTGAGTCTTTTTGTGACCTTTGAATGGGTTCTGCGAGTAGCATGGATTGGCTGCCAGTAAAGGGATGTAATCAGTGTTCGAAAGTCACAGGCGCCAACGCGCCAAATGCGCGTAAAAAATCGGCCATGGCGCCTAAAAAATGAAGGCTCTGCGCCAACGTGACCCCTCAAAATTGCCCCTTAAAAATCTGAATTTTCATATTAGGTGATTATTCGAAATTTTCAGCACCACAAGTGAAAGCTTTTTCTCTTCTTCACGATTTCATCATTTGTGGTTTTGTCTTCCCCAAGTTACAGCTACTTACTAGATCTGTTACGAAAACATCTTGCGTCTAACTTTTCACTAAATGCGCCGTCATATGTAGGCAAAGAGTCAATTTGGCCTTTAGAAAATCTTTAATGGCGCCTAAAAATCGGGCTTGATGCGCCAAATGGCTCCTAAAAAGCAAAGGTGAGTTTCGAACACTGATGTAATAGTAATAAGAGTTGCGAATCATAACGTCAGAAATCAGTAAATGAAACAGAGTTTACCCAGTCTGAGAACTTGAAGTACTAAGATATGTCAGGGAAAAATTGTCCAACTAGCTCTAGCGGCTGCTCAGCATGTATTAGACGTTTTTAACAACAAATGTTGTGAGTTAAGCTTTGGACGAGGTGATTTTTACATTTAATCATTCCGCATATCCCCAAACGGCAGGTAATTATACGAAAACTTATGTGAGAATTTCATTTTCTGAATTCTGCGGTAACTCTGATGAAACAAGGAATAATATAATTGTTTGAGTAGACTTGATTTTTTTATGAGGGCCTCACATGTTTCACTTCATTTTCAGGAGCCAATTCAATTAAAGCCTTCGGATGAACTAGTCGTACACTTTTGGAGACTTCTGAACAAAAAGAATGTTTGGTTTGAATGGACAATATCTAAACCAGTCCCTCTGCCGATTCACAATCCTAATGGGCGTTCCTACACGATTGGGCTCCTCTAACAGTAGGAATTTTGACTGATTCTTTACCGTTTGGTTGACCTCACATAAAACTAAAAGTGTCTGTTTTACAATTGATAAAAAGAAAAAACTGCGTGCGCATGTAACTTAAGTGTTTATTTCTTTGAATAAAATGTACCTTTGAAGTGTGCTCAACATCAAATTAATAACTGCTCTGCAAAATAACAGCCATTTGTTTTCCAAGTTTTGATGTTGAAAGTAATTTTTTTTTTTTTTTTTTTTTTTTTTTTTTTTTTTTTTTTTTAAATTTCCTCTGTAAGGAGAGGAGCATTAGTATTTGTAATCTCGTTTCTTTTCTATTGCGCTTAAGTGAGGAAATTATTTACGTATGTATTAATTTTCATTGTTGATGCATTGTGCATTTGATTCAATGGAATATAGTGGTCATTGCACTGTCACTTTCTGTTACTATCTAAGATGGTAAGCTAAACTGAAATTGAATTGAAAAATAGCATGTTGCTGCAAATGTAAGTGGCCTAAATCGGATCTTTGTATTACTCATTTTTACTGTGGCATCAGGTATGAATTGAAATGTCTTCGCATTGGAAGAGCTTACAAAGAAAGGTAATGTTATTGCAATGTATGTGCGTAGGTATGCTCCCGTTTTCAACTTTTAGTCAAACTCAAATTATTGCATTTGTAATGACTAGTTCATGCCTAATCTTTGCTAGAAGCAACAGGCACAGTTACTAGTCTGCAAAGAGTAAAAGGTCATTTGGATTTCACCAAAAATGTAAATACACATGCCTACTCAATTATACACCTTGTGGCAACTGCGCTATTTTTTGTTTTCTTCAAATTGTAGAAATGTCAATATTCAAAGCTCGCGTCAACTTGAATGATGCCAACCATAGACTTTTTTTTGACCAATAGAACTCACTAATGTTTGTCCCAGGTATCTCAGGACTGTTTTCTGAAAAGAAAAGGCTCAACAGTTGTTACATTTTTTTTTATTCGATCAGCTTAAAAGAGTCGTACTGTGCAACAACATGTTTTTGCTTTACTCTCATCTTTGAAAGATGGAATTGAATCCGTTTCAATTGAATTGTTCTACAGTTGAACAAATAAATTCTCCCTGCCCTTGAATTTTTTGCGAAACTTGATTTTGTCCACCATGTGACAAGTAAAAACTTCGAGAATTATTTTAACCAACAACTGTCCTAAAGTTATGATCAGATGTCAGTAAATTGATTTCATCAATCTTACTTTCAGTGTGATGGGTAGAACACTTCCTTGCATATATTTTTTTTAACACAAATTTTTAATAAAAAAACAAAAATTCAAAAACAAAGTCGTAACTTTCAGAATTTTTCATTTGGTCATTCCTTTTAAATTCAATAAAGAATTTGCAGGTGTCTGAAATTTGATAAATTTTGTGTTTAAGTGGAAACTATTGAGTGAACTGAACACGAAGATACCCTTGGCTCATGGATTGAACAATTATTGAAGAAGATAACACAAAATGATCTAATCTGTTAAAATACATGTGTTTAAATAGGAAATGCTGCCAGTTGATGTCACCAAGCGGTGCACTTTCCCACTTTTAAATCTATTTCCCATATCGGAAAAAAGTTTTAAAAAATACTGTGAAATCAACTCTTTAATCCATTTCAGATGAAGCAATATAACATTTGCATGCAAATTCTCCATCATGCCTTGTCTCCATGGGATGTTTCACAGGATTTTTCCCATGTTCAATCGCAGGAATGGTACGTCAGGGCTTTTTCCCTGATAAAAACACAACAAAATTTCTTCTTCTTCTTTTTACTTCGTTTCTGGGACTCCACATCCACAAAGACCTTTAGTTGACACTGATAAGTATTGACTAACTCAATATTTTTCCCAACTTCACAAGTGAGATTTTTCCTTGGGACAAATTCCATGAAACGTCCTGTGGAGACAAGGCCTTAAGCATTCAAATAAATTTTAATCAGATAAACTGAGCATGGGAATGGCGTTTTAATTCAAATGCACAGTCCATTACTTACCCAAGAACAAACGGGACACTATCCTCTCTTATTCAATAAGTTCACTTCTTTTCGTTTCGGTACTTTTTTTCAACAACTTATTAATACTAAGTTAGTTTTACAAATTAGGTATTTATTTATCAATACAAGTTTAATTTTTCAAAGGAAGTTGGGTGCCAAGAGCACCCAAAAATTTCCCAGCAATATTTTCCGGAAAAATGTCCAAGGAACTTCAGGTTATAGCAAGAAATGTGAAGTATCATTGTATATGTGCATTTCTTTATCAAAATTTACGATTTTAATCAGAAAGCACACTTCATGTTAATATCAACTCGCAGCAAATATCCCGCTTGGACAAAATTTTCCAAACTTTTCCGTTCTGTAATTACGAATGGAAAAAATAGAACAAAAAAAAACATTAATCCAAGGCAGAATTTACACAGGTTTCTTTCCTTAAGATTTAACATTATAGACTAAACATGTGTTCGTTAAGTCAGCCTTATCACATCAGTCATCAAAACAACAATTTCCAGGCATAGAATAAAATTCTTAGTTTTAACAGACAACATTAGTCAACATTTACTTAATTTCAGAAGTTAGGATACTTAACCTGATTTTACACGAAATGAATAGTTAAAAATAACAAAAGCGATTATTAAGTCACTCACTTTCAACGTTTTTAGAGGTCATGAGACAAGGTGATGTAGCGATGCTTAAGGTTGCACAGTCGGAGAATCTGGTCAGGAAATCGAAACAGAATCGTCCGTGCTTCTTCATAAATCTCTTGTAGGGTAGTGCTGTTTGATAAGCTTACTTATTTCTTGAGCAAGAGTAGGGGTACTGGCACAAAGCATTCGACAGCTGAACAAATCAATTGGGCCACCTGAAACATGAAGGGGTATCAATAGGTAAGAAAGAGGCAAAATTAAGGAGGGACGCATCCTTTCATTTCGGTCTTTGGATTTACGAACAGTTTCAAAATTTCACACAGCAGGTGATGAAAATTTATCAGCAAAATGGATTAGCAGGAAAATTGATCGTATTAAAAATAACATTTGAAAGAAATCTTACCTGCCGGATCTATCACAACACCACCAGCTTCTTGGATCAAAAGTGTACCTGCTGCATAATCCCAGGCATGGATTCCGTATTCAAAATACGCATCCGAGCCGCCGAGAGCAACCATGGCCATATTCAAGGCTGCAGAGCCAATACACCTGATTCTGTTGATAAAACAGGAGAAATCGTTATTTCAGGGGGAGAATATAGATAGGTGGAGAGTGTTCTAGGGCTCTAACACTTAAAAACTGATTTTTGAAAATTGATTTTTAACTACGTTGAGAAAACCAAAGTTTTTGACAGGATTGTCGATACATGATTTTAGTTGATAATCCTGCAAATGATGATGGGTCCAATCACAAATTTACATCAATCTGAGTCCCAGTTTTCTACTCTGGAGCAGGGGTGCAGAAACTTCCCAACCACGCGACCGGCCGTTCGCGTGAAATGGGGGAACCCATGTAAGGACGAGAAAGATGGGGGAACACATGTGAGGACAAAAAAATTGGGGGAACTTTGGGAGTTTTTTTTTTTTAGGGTTTAGGGGGAACTTGACTGTTGAGTGCGCTACTTTGAGTGAACCAAACTGTCAAGTGCGCTGTTTTTGGGGGAGCAAAACATTCAAGCGTGCTGTTTTTGGTGGAACCAAACTGTTGACCGCGCTGTTTTGAGGGAACCCAACTGTCGACAGCCTTACTTCATGTGTCAGGCAAAATTCTGCAAGAACCTAAATTTATTTTGGGGGAACCCTTGGAAGTTTCTGTACCCCTGCTCTGGAGTCCAAATTCGAAGCCACCCACTTTTTCAAAACTTAAAGGTTCCATGAACTAGCAATTTTTAAGAATGTTACGATTCCGTTTTCACTTGTGCACTGTGTTATCATTGGCAAGGAATGGGTTTATTTTCTTACCCCTGAGTTAATGGCCGCAAGATATTTATGTTTTGCATCACTATGTCCGACTCTTCTTTACTCTTCTTTGTACCAAACTCGATAGTGATTAACGACCTAGACAGTTCTGAAAGAGAGGTTAAATTCAATTAGGTGCAGTGTCATTGTTAAACTATAGGTCAAAATTCAAGATTCATTGTAGTTTAACACAATTAAACATAGTGACAAAGATCTGACTAAGTACTCAAAGCTTCATAGTCAAAATGCAGTACTTTACAGATAATGGCTTAAATTTTTCATTCCAATGACTACACCTCAAGCAAAATTAAAAACCAGAAAATTCGGGGAAATATTTGTCTATATTTGTGTGTCATTTTTTTGCTACTAATGCTCATGAAGCTGTCAAATAGTGCTGCCCACTGACAAAACTTGTCTTGAACTAGTTTTAAAAACTAAGCAACCCATCACGAGTAAAAAATCTTCTTTCAATGGACCACTAGATAAGGTACGAATTTCAGCATTCTGATACATGTTTTTTAACCAAAATTTTACGTAAAACACGATGCACACAATGAAAATTACCGCAATTAACTCCTTACGAAGATATTTAATGATTCTTAATGCGTGAATTCAAACCACCCGCTCATGAAAACTCAATGCTCTACGTGATTCACATCGCGCGCTAAACGTTATCATGACAGTCTCTGCGATATAAAAATCTAGCAACCTCAATCTTGACGCTTTGGCTCAGTTATAGCAAATTGCTAGTAGTTTGAACAACACATGATGGGAAATGAACATTGCTCGATTGAGAAGCTTGCTGAAACCGTTGTAGTGGGCGATTTGACTCACGTAGAGTTTTGAGTTTCTTGTGAGCGGGCAGTTCAAATTCCTCGTAACCAATGTGAAATAAAAACGTTAATATCTTCGTTAGGAGTTGGTTTCCGTAATTTTCGTTGTGTGAATCGTTTTCTACGTGAAATTCTGGTTAAGAAACATGTATCAGATCGCTTGAATTCGTACCTCGTCTAGTGGTCCATTGTAAAAATAAACAGAGCAAATTGATCTATTAATCACCGAATGAGCTTTCGCGCAACAAGTTTAAAAAAACAATGTAAGCAAGATACCTTTTGTTTTGGAGACTTTAATGGGTGCTCCATTGAGAAAAGCGCCTCTGCCTTTTCGAGCAGTGAATAACATTTCACACACAGGGTTGTAGATGATTCCAATTTCTAACGTCTTATTTACAACAAGAGCTACGGATATGCATGCGTTCGGGTAGCCGTGGACAAAATTTAGAGTTCCATCGACAGGGTCTATTATCCATGTTGGATCATCAGTTAATGTGACCTCCTTACCACTGGCTGTGGTCTCTTCACCAATAAACCTAAAAAAAGTACGTGAGTAATTTACATGCTTTGTTTGGTACTCAACGTTTGCAAGTTAGATAACCTTTAGAAAAACCTATTGTCATGCTTGACTTTGTGGGTTAAACTTGCAAGTGGAATTTCTTTCTTTTCAACTTTTGGAAGAGCATTTTTCGGGGACAATTAATACTAGTGGGCCTCCAGGCAAGGTGTGAATTAGAATGCAACACAACATGTTTTCTTGTCAAACCTTCTCGAGAAAGACAAACTTTACGGTGAAAACCCTGGAATTCAACTCCTAAATAAGGCATACCTAAATGTTTGTCTGGGTTTTTTTTTTTGGGGGGGGGGGGGGTTAAAGGATCATTATAACCGGTATAAGTACGACTGACAGGCCACTGGCCACTGGCCAATACACACTTAATTGCTTAAAAATTAAAAACTTAAAATAAAATTGGAAAATGGAACAGAACAAAAAATTGAAAAACCAATAAAAACCTAAAAATTGCATTCATAAAGAAACTAATCGATACTGAGAAACGACCTGACAATGCTTGACGTCCTTATTACAACGGACTTTTGCATTGATTGGAGCAGGTAACTCTTAACTCCGAAGTCTTGAAGCTGTTCAGATAAACTGTTTGGAACCATCCCAATGACCGCTATTATTAGCGGTTTGATGCGTGCTTTTACTAAAAATACTTGTCAATATCTTGTTCAGGAATTGATTTTCACTAGTGTTAAGAATCGGTTTCCATGCAAAATTTTGAAAAAAAACGAAGTGACGTTTTTAGAGTTCAAATTATGTCTTGTCAGACGTGGGATTCGTTGATTGCATAACTCACTATGTCATCTCAGTTGTGTCATTAGCGATAATTGAATAAATGTCAATCAAGCTCAATGAGTCAATGACAAAGAAAGTGAGTGGTGCAACAGACCAATCATATGACTCTATTCCACCTTAATCCTTTATTTGTCCCATTAATTTACGATCAGCCTTTTTATAATCAGTGAAGCGCATTTTGCGTCATATTATAACAATTAAAATGAGGATAAAACAAACCGAAACACCCATTTTTAAACTTTTCAAATTAAGTAACATACTTATTTAGTTCATCGTATGCATTTCAGGTTAAAACCTATCTTCAGCAACATAATAAAATAAATCAAAACATGAAAAATAGTTTAAACATAAAATAGTAATCGTATGTTAATTTGTCTTAATTTTGTATGTTGATTTGGAGATATTAAAAGTACATGTTTCGGTTTGATTTATCCTTATTTCAATACCTCTTTTCATGATTGAGGAGAAATGTGTGGATAAACTTGTTCAGGAGAAGATTGTGGTTTTTCAAGAATTTGACAAAAAAATATTTCCCAACTGTCAGCTCCATCTTTGGAGTGAAATGTACACCAACTGGTGAATTTAGTCCAAGTTGTGTCTTCGATGTAGATTCAGAGATGTGGAAACTTTGAACTTATATGATACAGTCCACAACAATTTGAATATTAAAAGCCAATAAATTAAGTAAAAAATTGCATTGTTCAAAAATCTTTCACATTATACTTGTTGGAGCACCATAAGCTCAGCTTGAAACATGCATAAAAACTTCTTCCTCACATTCTGCTTCCTGAAAAAGTCTTGAAAAGTTTTGCTGTAAACAGGTTATAAGAAAATACTTGCTTGTGATTGGGGTATGCTTTGGTGATGTCATCAATGAATAATGCCTCTATTTCATGGTCCGTTTCAGTGACTAGATCAGATTCGCTGGCTTTCGTCTTGACACTTTTCGTCTTCCATATTCTATCTCGAATCAACTGAAAATAAGAATAGGAGGAAATATGAAATTGAACCAACACACGTACCGAAACTTCTTAATTCCTTTCCCTCAAAATTATGAACCGTCACTGTTTAAAGAAGTTTGAAGCTGTTTGCTGCAATTCTACATATTTCATAAGTTTTTGAAGGGAGAAGACTTTTGATTTCATTTCTCAGAGCAATGAAAGAAGAAATTTAATAATAAATTAATGTTTCTAGAAGGAAACAAACGAAACAAAAAAATCGTTCCATCCAATTGGAGTGATTGTTTACTAGAGTTCAACAGTCGATAAGGTATTTTTGCTTACTTCTCCAACCCTCTTGCCTAATCTAACCTGACCTTACTATGTAATAAAATTATTTTCCTAAAATACCCAATCATGACTGGAAATTCCTACTAATCTGAATCTTCTTGAAAACGCCTGCTTAGGCGTGTCAAAAAAAAGGAGTAAAAAAAAATGAGCTGATAAAAGAGATCTTCAAAAAAATTCTTTAAAAGATCTGAAAAGTAAAAAATAATTAGCAAAGGGAGAGAGGAAGAAAAGCTCTTCTTGATTTGAAATGGAACTCTGGTAGTAGAGAATTGGTGTTCAATTTACACATTTTCACAATCAATTGTTCTGGTCTCATAAAACATTTTTCTAACGATCATAACAATTTTTTTTTTCCTGTTGTAGCTATACGTGCTCATGATTTCTTTTTGAAGGAATGCTACGATCGATGTCTAACATCAGATCACAGCGGAAATATTTCAAGTCATTTATTCGAGGCACAGTTGAAGTGCTCCTTGATTAGTGTCAAAAATTACTTTCTTAAAAACGGAAAACTGCTGCATGCCCCAACAATTAGGTCCTGAGGAGCTTTAAAGAAATTTAATCTGATAGAGGAGAAAAATAATATCTGCATATACACTTCTATTGAGTGATGCAATTGCAAGTTGAAGGAAGATAATATTTAATGGAGAAAGTTCAGAGCAAGAATGGAAACATAAGGAGATATTTTTTACATGAATGAGTGTCAGGCCGGATTGAGTGGGATGGGCAGCTTCCTAAGCAAAGAAATTGTTTTGGAATGCGACAAGCATTCTTTGGTTTTGAACCTGGATATAGGAGGGTGGAGGACAACAGAAATAAAGACCTCTCTACTTGCTGGCGGTCATTTCCATTTAAAAATGGAGAAATAATTAGACTGCTGGTTATCATAGTCGCTATTTCAAGTGGCTTAGATAGTTGAATTTTCATCCTACTATCAGCTTAAAAGAGAAAATGTTAGGTTGTGTCAAGGTATCATAGAAGTAGATAAACTTCATTAATTCAATAAATGATAAGCCTGATGGGTCCGAGCCCTAGTAGCACAACAAATTTTTGCTTTTCTAAAAAAAGTATAAAAAAAACATATGTTATCTAAATGATCGTTTTATATAAAAAACGTGTAATGCTTATAATAAAAAAATCAAAGTTCAGACCTGACCGTAATATATGAAAAATGATAAAAGCTAGATAAGGTAATTTTTTTTAAACACACATTTTTATTTTTTTATATAACGCATGCATACGTAAGTGTTAAAGTGAACATTTTTATGTAACGATTATATAAAAAAATAGGTCATCATTTTCGTGAGCTTTTCGCGAATTAGAAGAATTTTTAGTATGTTCGCGAAAAGCTCACGAAAATTATAACATTTTTTTGTATAATGGTTACATAAAAATGTTCACTTTTAACACTTTTGAATGCATGCATTATCTAAAAAAATTAACTTTCGTACATAATATTTATCTTTTCCATCTGTGGTTCTGCTACTAGGGAGGAGGTTTTACTGTCAACCTAGAGCTGAAGGCAGAAGACAAAAAGTTTTTACAGATAATATTGCAGATAACTTGCTCTTGGAACTATGAAGGCTGTCCTCAAAAAACTGAGAGGTGTCCTGCTCTGAGAAAACAATTTAAAAAATCGGATCACAATTTCCAATAGCTTGTCCCTTGTTTAGTTAGTTTTCTAATAAACTTTAGGTTGAGCTCATTCCGTTAAAAAGTGGCTTTTCTTCCACAATTTTTCAGCAACGTGTAAAAAAAAAGGAACCTCCTTAATTTCCATGACATTTTTCATTTTCTAACTCCTTTTTGTAGAGACATAGCAATACCTATTGGGAGTTATTGTGAGAATTGTCGGAGTTTGCGTGGTCAAGGTTTCAGTGTATCGACAGTGAAACTACAACGATGTTCATATCCATTGCAGTGTTTCAAATTCCACTCCTGTTTTATTTTTCATAAGGAGACCTGACTGACGTCATGGCTTGAAATTTTTACGGAATATTTTTCATTTGAAGACAAAAAATATCTGAAGTTTTCAAGAAATGCTATCAAGTAATTTTTCATTGAGAAAAGAAAGTGCGACAGAAAGTCTGCAATGCTGCAAACCGAGATATGTTCTTGTGCAGTTTCACCACAGGTAAATGCTCAAGATTGTCTTACTTATTAAGCTTTGATACCTACAGCTTAAAAAGTCATTTAGTCATTTTTTATCAGCCTAGAATATTGGGATAGGCTGTCAATAAGGCAAAAATTTTTGATTCACTGAACTGCAATTGAGAAAGAATTTGCTGGTTTTCTTGATAACGTTATCAGAAGTCTTGCAGTCTAAAAGGTTGCAAACTTCATTCTTGGTGTTGCTGCATCCTTGCGCACAGGGTTGGAGGTTGTTTTTCCATTTCACTGAAAAAGCCCAGTCCAGAAAAGCATGTTCTGAACCCAATGAGGGGCTTCATTAGATGACAAGACACATGAGTCCATTTTCTGAAGTAAAACTCGTCTTAATGCATATTCTATGAAAAATTCGCTCCCTAACGCCAATTTTCAAGCATCAAAAAGTGAGTTTGAGCTTAATACGCGCCATGAGGCTCCATGTAATGCAAAACTTCGAACACGTACTTCCCGAAAAGGCAAAAACTACACTAATGCACCTTGTCCTCCAAGCCCTTCAAACAAGCTCAATGACAGCCAATTAGAGAGCTAATATATTAACTAAGCTCCTATCAACTGTATTCTGGTATCTTGAAATATTTTCTCAAAACATGCCAGCTCTCAGTTTGCAAGGGACAGCCTCTGAATATTGTGATTTTTAGTACAATTCAGGCTTATACCTGCATCTCCAAAAAAGGTCCTTTGGCTTATGAAAACGGAATCAGATAATGCGTTTTTGTGCACCTCCTTTCACTTATAGATTGATAAAGTAACAACAGCTTAGAGACATACTAGTAACTGAATATGACCGCGAATGTGTCATTTCCTTGACTAAGACTGAACCTTAAGTTTCCAGTGCAAAATGGACTAAGCAGAAAGGAACCAAACCACATCCATTGTTGCCAAATTCAATAGGGAAATTTGATTTTTAACATGAAAACGGTTGTGCAGATTCATGTGCAAATATCAGTAAACCTGAACAGTACGAAGCAAATGCTGAGAACTTTTCATTGGAATCTACACGAACGGTCTCTTATAAAAAATTAAATTGCCCGGTTAAATTTGGATAGCCGGATTTGAATTGCTTTCTGCTAGAGGTAGTCCCCATGATCCACTATGATAAAGATTTGCGTCTAAATCACTGACACTTAATGATATAAATCTAACCTACGAAACCACGCTAAGAAGGTGGTCATCATTCGTACTCAGCAAATACTGCTTTCTTGGCTTGAAGACATTCACTATATGCTTCAGAATCTCTGGGAAAAATTAACCTCGTACATTGAAAATTGAAAACTCACCTGGCCACCAGTTTTAGTTATCTTCACAGCCAAATCAAAATAAGCATCCAATTCACAATCCATTATAAACAAAAAATATAATGAGACTAGTTTACACGAAGATAATAAATGAAACTGCTTAAACTGTACTAGAAGAGAACCTAATGGAGCAGGTGATGGTAATATAAAGCTACTTTCCAAACAAATTAACGTAATTCGATCAACTGATAACAACGTGAGAAGCCGGACATAAGCCGCTGTTATCAAAACATCAATAATTATAATGCTCAAGGTCATTGCTCTAGCCTCGTTGCCAAACGGTTTGCAAATAGATGATTAACTTTCATAGAGAAAAAAAAGGAGGTGTTTGCATCTTGAGGATTTGTACCCACCTACGTCATCAATGTAAACAAGACGCTCGTTGAGGGTTATGTTGACGCTGTAAAAACGGACCATAATGTCCGATTTTTTTACTTAAATCAACTCTTTATATAATTTCAAGCAGTTTTTATAGAATGACTTTTTCCCTTAAATTACACCATTTCCAAGAAAATCGACAGGATAAAAACGTCGCTGTACCCAATGACGTCATCAAAGCTATAGATACTCTATGAAAAATTCCAAGATGCCCGAAATGCAAACACCTCCTTTTTTTTCTCTATGATTAACTTTTACCTATATGAGCAACGCTGCCAAGTAAACCACTTATCACTGAAATCACTCTATTTTTATTAAACGCCTGTGTGCCAGAGAGACAGAAAACAGCCCAGGAGCCCGCTAATTTGTGCGAGAGAGACAGAAAACAGCCAGGGAGCCCGCCAATATGTGCGAGAGAGACAGAAAATTCCCAGGCGGAACGCGTATGAGTGCGAGAGAGAAAGAAAATCGCCGGGCGGGACTTGCGTTGTTTTTCCGGCAAAGCCGCATGGCGTTCCCCCGCGACCCTCTGAGACCGGTTGCACCCTACCCTCACTCGCCTGGGTGTGCGAGAGAGACAGAAAACAGCAAGGCAGCTCGCCTAAGTGTGCGAGAGAGATAGAAAATAGCCAAGCGTCTCGCGTATAAG